TCCGTCATGGTGTATTTTTATAGGTTTTATTGTTTTAACATTTACGTACGTTTGACCCCAGAAATGTTCAATGCTACCTACGTGAAGAACATATACCTTTACAGTATAGCCTAATTATGATAGATAATTAATTTTAAGATCATGACAAGATGGGTAAATTGTTCTTGCAACCCAGGGATTACATATGACATGTATAGCTCTTGGATAAAGGCGTGTGTCTACGTAGATAAGATTTCGAATTCTAAAAGGGGCGTGACAAGCAATGTGTAGTTATAGATATAAACATTTTAAACAGATGTTTTATACATTTTTTATTGGGGTCGCGTTCAATAAATGTTTTATGAATCAGCATGTGCGATAAGACGGGCGACGTCAAATATATTCACGCTTTTTTATGTCGTGCACTGGGCTCGTGTTCAACAACGCTAATGTATCATTATGTGGATTGAAAGAAAAGGGAGATATTTAGACCCAAATATTGAACATATTTTTTTTATTATTGTAAATATATTTTTACCATGCCGTTTGGAATTAATAAAGCGCCAACCCTATTTCGGCGTGGAGTGGAATCTATAATGATAAGAGGCAGGCTGTATAGTACCATTTGTTTTAAAAAGCATGCCCTATTTGATATCCACTACTATTGATACTAAATGTATTGATATTTGTATGTAAATTCATTTTTTTGTAAAGGACTCTTCTATCTCTGTTTGGCTCGAACGCAACATATGTTAGTGACTACCCAATTAAGGAGGACGTTTTCACAGAATTACCTAACCCATATTAACATCTTCAATTCTTATTTAGTATTTTGTTTCTAATATTTACGTTCACATGTGTAGACATCTAAAGTAAGAAGACTATAATATCCCAATTCCCGCGACATTGGTAAAGTACTGGGGCGTTACCAAAACAGCCATGGTGATTTGTTAAGCATGTTAAAGCTGTGTTTTTACTATGATATAAAAACAGATATCTGAAGGTTAGGAATGTGCTCAGATCAAATTCAGAACGAGTTCACCTTACCCGTTTATTTTCAGAATGTAAGAATATACAGTAAAAATGAAAACAGCTATTTCCACTTTTAACACGAAACAATTTTCAAATGTCAAAAAAGACAAAGATGTATTCATGCCATTGTAGTTTTAAAACAAACAGAGGTTTCTTCTGTTATGAATATAAAAATAATATAGAAACTGTAAAAATTAATGCATTATGACCACCCTGAGTTTTTTTTGTTTATTTTGGAGATGCATTCACATGCATTAACAGTCCACAGTCCTTAGTTCATTCTTCAGGTCTCTAATCTTTGTTATAGTATGGGGATCACGTGGCTAAGTGGGTAAGACGCTGGCTCGCTAGCCTGGAGGTCGGGTGTTCGATCCCTGCATTGGCCGAGAAAGTTCATCCAGATTTTCCGGCGTGGTTTCCCCTTGTCAGTGATGCAGGACGGAGGGCATGACAAGGAGAGCTGTCTAGTCCTTCGGATGGGACGAATACCGAGGTCCCGTGTACAAATTGGCGTGCACGTAAAAGATCCCTTGGCAGTTGGAATCCGATATAAGAGTAGGCCGTAGCGCCGCTACCCGGGCAAAATTTACCTCATAGCACAATGTATGGCGTATGCCCGTCTTCATTAGCCCAGTTTGGGAGCAAAACAGTAGGACGTTAAACCCCATTTAATTTCATTTGTTATAGTACATTCACTGCTAATTCTGGTAAGAAGGGATGTTAATTAGCAGTATCACTCAATAGAGAAAATTCATTTTGGAATAAACCCTAGATCGTCATACGTGTAATAACAGTAAACCCAAGCCCTAACCTATTTAGAGTACGGTATTTTGCGGAAGCATTCTTCAAACTCTCTGAAAACCACTAAAACATTTAAATGGATTACGATTCGACAGATAAAGAATTAGCAATGCCCCTTTAAAGTTGCATTTTCGCTTCATTGTTGTTTTTTTTAAAGATCCTAGCCGTATCAAATTTTTCGTAACAAAAAGATGGGTTTTACTCAATTGTTTTAGATGTCAATTGGGTGAAAATACTTGTAATGCCGTGTTTTTATTTTGAAGGTATGCGAATCTTGTAAATAATATGGTTGATTAGAACACACACCACGGATTGCTACATGTTACTTTAAAATATAGAAGAAATATTTCATGTGTTAACTATTCTAAAAACATTGCAAGAGAACTACACAGAACTTAAAAAAGAACAATCCAAAATTCTCTTAAATATAAAAGGACGGGGGGGGGGGTGAGGGGGGGGGGGGTGTTGTCGAGAGGTAATGGAACTCGGCCCTCGACCAGAATGTCCCGGTGTTCGAATCCCGTCTCGGACCGAGAACAACCATCGGGATTTTTCAAGCTATTATTTAGTGTAAGTTGCGAAATAATGCCTCCAAAATGAAGAACAATATTCTAAAGATTTCAGACACTCTGTGAATGTAATCGAGCATGAAATCTGTAAGGTATCATAAAAGAAGTTAAAAGTCTTGTGCCTGTCACCACAAACCATCTGTTTTCTGCCAAGAATCAGATATCCATTTCAGAGTTATGAACTTTACTGGCGTTCGGTATTTTTAAAGATATGCAAAATGTGAAAGCCTATTTAGATACGTATGTTATTTAAATGTTGAAATTTGAATGGACAACAAAGTTTACTTTAATAGAGCAGTATTCTGTGAAAGCCAGATTAGCCAGAGTCAGTATATGCCACCCATATGTTAAATTTTAGCTGGTTTAGATATACCGGCTATCGTGTGAACGCAAAGGTGGTGCAATAAACATGTTTCTTATGTATTAGGGTTTTCTTGACGGATGGACTTGAAATTAGACAAACTTAGGGTTGTTACATCGACGTCAGGGTATGATATAAACGAAGTTATTTTAATCTTTTGTTGTGCTTTTCTATTTTAGTCTGTAATTTTGTAAAAATTATGTAATGTCTTATTCGCCATGTTGCGTGTATGTTTAAAATATTCACGTTTTATAAACCATCTGTTATGCGTCAACAGTATCATGTTTGAAGAACAATATATTATTGTTTTATTCCAGTAATATGATATGTTATAGTGAAACAGTAAATTACTGCTTAACGGTGATCAGAATTAAAAGAGTTTTTTAAATCATTTGTGAAATAATTCGTGTCATTCATTTTACAAAGGAAATGAAAAATATTCTTAAATTCTCCAAAGAATAAAATAGTGATAGAAAAAAAGGACAGCGCCGTTGCGTCATTGGCCACCATGTGGACTGCCATATTTTTATGACACGGTGGGATATTGTTAATAGTATAAAAAAAACTTTTTTTTAAATTATACCTTTTTAAAGAATGAAATGATGGAACACTATTAACTCCTGTGCTGTAACAACATATTGATTGCTGCCATTGACTTTAATTGATAGAGAGCAGGCACGTGTCGATGAATGTATGTGTATGACGCCATCTGTCCATGACACAGCTGCGTGTTTTGAACACTCACGATGGATCACTTTTACAAGTAAAATGGGAGAAAAAGACTTACCCAACGTTGCATTTTATGACGGGTTTGTCAATCATACAAGGCCTAGTACTGTCGATAACGATTTATCGCTGAAGACTCGTGTACCATATTTGCCAATAATTGATTCATATCTAACAGTTTGAAAATGTTTCTTTATTCCAATTTTACATTACATATTATTTAACAGAAATATTTTATTATTCCAAAATTTTAAATTAATATTGCACTTAAGATTTGTGCTTTAATCGAGCGATTCATGTATGGCCATACAAATAGCGTGACACGCGCCATGATACTAAAGCATCTGTGTAATTGTTGTTGGACAATTGAAGTGTATTTTCATGGATAGCGACGATGATAAATCCCCGTTAGTAAATCTATTATTAACCCTATTATGTTTTTTTTATATTGTGTGTCGCATTCGGTTAACAGGGTCTTTTTTATCCACATTTACAAAGCTTTAAAAGCAAATGTAACAAAGGGAGCTTGGTGTTTGTATTCATTATTATGTGTAAAAGATAAAAGAATCGTTCAACATTTGGATATTTCTGTGACTTTTCAAATTATAAGGTATTTTTGTGTATGCCTGAATATAAAGATTGGTTTAACACATTAATAACTATGTCACACTGCCAATATACTATCGATTCACTTAGCTATTATAGGATGTACTGACGGATGTCATGTCTAGAACACGTAATGTTAAGGTTCAAATGTATGGACATATAATTATATAACAATGTTAAAAAATCTATGGTATTATTTTACTTTTATAGGTTCTGCAACATACATATTCTTTTTGTGTCCTTAATTCAGGGCTGAATAATGTGAATGATGAGAAATAAATGAAATTATAGATAGGTGTATCTTAGAATAACAGTTTAAAACAGTTTCTTATCCCGTTATCATATTTCTATTTATAAATGAATGGAATTTAAATGCATATATAGACACATGTATTACATGTTTAAAATAGTTTACTCAATGACATTGAATGTACGTGCATTATGAATCATGTATTGTTGAAATATTGATATCTTAACACGTGTACTTTATTAAATGAATTTATTATTCAGGTTCTGATTTTCAGTCTGATATAAAGCACTGTAAATTTTATAGATGTATGTTTTATGCCATTATTTTTTCAAATTAAATAACGTGTTATAACTTTTACAAAGCTAAAGTGTTTATTATTTCTCAATTATATTGGTCGGAAACAAATTTTTATCTCAATTTGTTCATGTGATTGGTGATGAAAAGGTCATTAATTAAGGGTTGTTATTTCGTCCGGTAGAACTTAGAACATATTAATTATGGTTCAGATTTACCATTCATATGATAAAGAAATCTATTTTGTAAACAAGGAGAATTAGTAATCCCTAAGAAACACAGTCAAGTGGTTAGATTTATTGAAACCATAAGGTTTAAACTGTGACAATCTTTAAATGTTATGGCTATGAAAAAACTGTATGAATTTTCTTTATATTTTTAGGGGTGTTCATACTAAGGCTATGTATACAATATGAAGAGGGTGATGAATCTGCAGGGTTGTTGACGTTGATTTAACAGGTAGGATCCAAAGTTTAATACTATTAACGAACCTCGTTTGTCTAAAATATATATTTATAGTTCACAGGCATCTTGGAAATATATCTTAAGTCAAAATGTCAGACAACTTGCGTAGTACAACTGTGAATCTCTGACCAGGTCAGCAACCTCAATCGATAGAGAACTCGGGGAAGTGCCTGTTTCCCAATAATTCATAACTAGCAGGCCGGATATACAGTCTTACCGAGATGTCTTCAGCTTTATAAAAGTACAAATCAGATTGGTGTAGGTATGGCCCTAAACACAGAGGCACAACTTTTTGTTTTTCATAAACGCTGACTTTAAATACCTGTTGTTATGGCAATTATATTTAAATATAACAGAGATCTAATACTTGTTATTATATCTAAGATATTCAGCTGGTAGAAATCTAAACTCTTTAATTATATTAAACAATCTGCTCCCTGTTCATCGTATCAAACACAATCATTAATAGAGCTAAATTGGTAGCTTGATCACCGGGTTATCTCCCCATGTTGACATACAGACGGCAGCCACCCTAATTATACGAACAATAATTAACTTTATATGGATTAATTATCTTAAAAGAGGAACTAAGTACCATGTACAGAACTGTCTTTATATCTATTTACTTCTATAGTTAATTGTAGCCTGTCATCGCTATTATTAAAATCTAATAAAGATGTCCTATTTAAAGAAAAATACCCCGTGAAGTTAATTGTATCGTTAAATAGGAATCCGATTCTACCTGTTAATTTACTGAAATGCAACAATAATTGTTGGCCTCCGAAGTTTTTGAACCTCTTACTAAATGGGAAGTGGTAACCATAATCTGCCTCGAGCAGGACATTCACCATAAGTTAGGCCGACAGCTTACTGTGCCCATGGTTTGGAGATGGCTTTCAAGAGTCGCAGAGTCAATAGCCAACTTGCATAAATACATCGATTGCGGTAGAAATTAAAAGAGAAACCGGAATCGAGTTCAATTTTCATAGCCGCTATTCTCTTATGTGGTAACTTAGTTTCTATAATAGAAACCAGTTCGGCTTTGAGTAGTGGAGTCTTTAAATGGATTCTATTGATTAGCCTCATTTACAACATTGTATTTTTGTTTTCAGAATGTCTGGGAAGATGGCGGTGGATAGGGAGGTGACGGTATCCAAAAACGTATGGAAGACAGTGCGGGTCGTTGCCATAGCCGGCGTCGTGTTGGCGGCTATTTTGTTGATAGCTTTAATCGTCATTTTGATAGACCAGACGTTTTTACCGGTATGTCCGAAAGGTCAAACGATAAAACCGAGAAATTACGAGAAACCCGGGGTGTTTGATGACTTAACACCACGAGAAATGAAGGCAGCACGAGACTTCCTTTTGTCGCTAGAATCACCAGCTTTAAAACGCCAAGAACATGCTTCAATAAACAGTAGCTACATCTACATGATTGATCTCCATATAACATTAAAATCAGCCGTCCTGCAATATCTTGACGGCGGACATCGTCAACCAGAACGAACAGCTAAAGCGATTGTATATAGAGGGGATTTGGATCCACCTCGTGTTGAAGAGTATTTAGTCGGTCCTCTTCCTAATCCGAACTATCACGTCCTCATCAGAGACCCCGCTTATCGACGACTTCCCATTCCATGGACAAGCCGCCCAGTAGACCAAATCGAGTATAAACATCTCTATGGTATTCTAGAAAAAGCAACAGAGAAACTGTATACGGTATTTAGAGAGAGTTATGGTATGCACTACCATAACTGTACAAAAGACGAAGCCTGTATGGCTTTCTTTGATGTTGCACCTCGGGGTTTGGAAAGTGGGGAGCGCAAATCGTGGTTCTGGGGCTTCCGGAAAGTAGAGGGTTTCTACAGTCATCCATTGGGAATCGAAATTCAAATCGAACACGAAGGTACGGATGTTTCTGAGTGGCGAGTTGTTCGTGTTATTTATAATGGACAAATGTATTACAGCATAGAAAAACTTGTAGAACAGTATACACTCAATAGACTTCGTAAATTAGATATCAAAGTTGATCCTTATGATCAACAATACTCATCCTTTGAAAGACGCGGTCCTAAAGACTACGATGCCCCAGGAAGAGGCCCGCGCTTTTATGAGCCAGATGGAAGACGTTATTCTGTTGACGGACAGCACGTTCAGTACGTGGGATGGAATTTCAACTTTCGGATGCGCACTTCCACTGGTCTTCAAATATTCGATGTGAGATTCCAGGGTGAACGCATCGCTTACGAGCTCAGTCTTCAGGAGGCAGCAGTGTTTTACTCCGGATACGGCGCTGTTTCCGGATCAACAAACTATTTTGATACTTCATGGCTGCTAGGCGCTTCATCCTACGAACTAGTGCCCGGTGTCGATTGCCCAGGAACGGCATCATTCCACGACAGTCACCATTTCGTAAACTCTGGACAGCCGAAATATTATAAAAATTCCATTTGTGTTTTTGAACAAAATTCAGGGATGCCACTTCGACGTCATTATTCTAGCGATTTCCAAGGTGGCTACAGTAATTATGGTGGCCTTGTGGACCATTTCCTCGTAGTCCGAACAATCCTGAACGTATGGAACTATGACTACCTTATAGATTATATATTCCACCTAAATGGGGTAATTGAATTAAAAGTTTCGGCTACGGGTTACGTTCAAACGACCTTTGCTCTTGCTCATGAAAAACCATATGGAACAATCGTGGAAAATAACGTCCTTGCCAACCTTCATCAACACATGTTTCATTTTAAAGCCGATTTAGACATCGGAGGTCGCGAGAACAGGTATTCGACGTTAGACATATCCAAAGAGACCGTGAGAATTCCTTGGTACGTGGAACGAAACAAAACACAGTTGAAATTTGAGAAAGTTTTAAAAGAAAAAGAAATGGACGCCATTTTAGAATTTAGTTTCGATCATCCCAAATATCATCTGTTTTATAACCAGAATACTAGAAATAAGTTTGATTATCATAGAGCATATCGAGTTCAGCACGGAGCTATGAGTAAATTTCACCTTGAAGAAGCTGCTTTTATGCGCGCGGCAAACTGGGCCAGATACCAGATGGCTGTCACCAAACACAAAGACACTGAAGACGTCAGCACGACAATCTACGCTCAAAACGACCCCTTTGACCCCGTTCTCGACTTCCATACATTTTTAGACAACAATGATAAACTGGTGGACGAAGATCTGGTTGTTTGGTTGACCGCCGGAGTTGTTCACATCCCGCACTCCGAAGACATCCCAGCAACAGCCACTCCGGGAAATAGCTATACCATTTATCTGAGACCTTACAACTTCTTCCAAACCTGTCCAAGCGTGTCCTTAAGTGAGGCCGTCCATATTACGCCGGGTAATAATTTTGATACACTGCACGTGAAAACATTCGGAACAAAGCAGGGATCTCGTTGCTTCCAAAAGGAAGAAAATTATGAAGAATTCAATGGTACAACTCCACTAATCTAAACATATCCCAGAGATCCTGTCAATCGATCGTGTCAATTAGGATTCGAAGTAAAGCGGGGCTTTCAAGAACGGCAGGCTGTAGGATTACGATAACGCAAGGGAAGCCCCAATGACTGTGCACAATTATGACTCTGGGATGGTTACATGGATATTCATTTTCAACGTGCATTCATCTCATTGTGTAAACACACACTGTGGACTCAATTACCTGTTGCCAGTGCCAGTGAGTTTCTTGAAAACTGTATGCGCAGTTATCTCCCTTTATATAATATGCACGATTATTCACCGTCAAATGTTACACATCTCGTAACATGATTTAGCTTGGTAACAGAAACTATCAACCGGTAATATTATATGTACTGCACTTGTTGCGAACACGGATTATTATCCGGGTTTAGTTCAGGTTATTAAACTGTAAAGGAATTGACAAGAAGAATATCGGAGCTGTGGTGAGCTTGACATGTCATTAATAATTTTCATAGTGAAGACGCTTTATTTTACGGAAAATTAACCTGCTACTAATTAATTAATTAATTAATTAATCTATGCTGATATAGAATACTAACATATTTTATTCCAACCCACTTTGACACCCCCTTCCAGAATGACAACCTTTGTATGGGGGAAGGCTCTTCTAAACTAAGACGACGTCGTTATAAATTGATGTTTGGGTCGTCTCAGTATGTGTATTTTATTTGTCATAATATTACTCAGTTAGGTCTTTACGGCGAATATCAAACTGTACGAATTCCAAAATTGAATGCCTTGTTTGGGATACAGTGATCACTTTTTAAACGCACACCAGTAATATAAAACACCGGAGACAAAATACTGTACATTCAGTTAAGAAACGCGTACTGGTTTTTTAAAACGGATATTAAAGGTACACCCCCTTCAATGATAATTATGCCTCATTGCACATTTCCATTCTTTTACGACTCAACCAGTGATCATGTAGGTCGTCGCACTATACATAATCATAAATCTGTGACAATAAAATATTTATTGCTTTGTTAAGACGGATTGTAGCGTTTCTACTGTTTAGTTTAGACGGATTGCATGGAAATCTACTGTCAGTCTAGTTAAAGCTGGTTGTATAGCGTATATACTGTCTAGTTTATACTGATTGTAGCGTAGACTGATTTATAGCGTATGTACTGTCTAGTTTATACTGATTGTAACGTATCTACTGCCTAGTTTAAACTGACTGTAGCGTATCTACTGTCTAGTTTAGACTGATATACTGGTTATCCTCCATTTTAGGTTGGAAGTTTTGTATAATAATGTTGTTTATATTAGTGTACATGTTACTTATGTTGTTTTTATTTTTATCATCTATATTCCATGGATTGTTCATTTATTTGCTTTAAAATCAGGCGCCATATTTTCTTCCATTTCATTATTAATATAATTACTTTGGACCAAAGAAATGCGCCTGGATTTTAAATATGCCCAAAGGAGATTACATTCAGATACCCCAAACTATAAAATAACTATTTTCTAGTGATTTGATAAAGGTTTAAAATGACTAAAGCATTAATCAAGTGGGAATTGGCCTTTTCAAGAACCCTGAACTTTGATATGAAACGGCCCTCCGATGATAGTGGCCGATGACAAAGATGACGGCATTTGTCCGAAAGTGTGGAGATTGTCGAGAATTCTCTAGTCTCGGAACTACTCGCTCCGCTTTACAAATCTCGACAAACTCTTAGTTTATATATTTCTCAAACTATATACTTGTTTATGTTCTTATTGAATTACGTCATTTTTCTTTTTATCTTGTTTTTTCTTTGTTGATTATCAATAAATCGCTCAACTCATTTTTTAACTGTGTTTCCTTTCCATTTCATGAGGGGGTTAAGAGGTAAAATTGTCTAACGCGTGTGCATTGGAACACAAGGTCTGCATCGATGCAAGTGTCGTGCTTTCAATCCCAGGCTTGGACAATACAAGGAGCTGAGTAACCCTCCTATCCCCATGGCTTTTCTCTGTTTATATCATTGTTAACAGCTGCACACAAATACTTGGTGACTAAAATAGGTGCTACTAATCAAATAACAATATCTTTAGAATATTTTATTTAAGGTGTCATGAATATAGTAGACAGCAAATAATTGAATATAGTGTTCAGTAAATATTTAAATATAGGTGCACAAATCAAACATTTTAATATAATAAACGGTAAACATAGTGTTCAGTAAACATTTTAATATAATTCTTTAAGTAGCATTTAGCGATCAGGGAACAAATTAACAGAACACAGTTTTTATGGGATACAATCACTAGTTTATTCTAAAAGCACGACGTTTCGACAAGTATCCTCTTATCGTTATCAAGCACAAATGACAATTTAGTAAACTTGTGGACAATATATATGAAATTAATAAGAAACCATCTGCATGGATTAAGAATAACAGTAATAGAAATAATCAAGGTGTAAAGGATATTTAACAATAACAACAAACATAACAAGGTAATTAGCTACTAATAAGCACTGATACTGCATGATTAGAGGGTTATTAACAGTTATGAAGCCCTTCATAAGACATTCACCTGAACTCAATAGGGACTTAGGGCTCTACATCCCCAGGGCATATGATGATGTAATTAAGATGCACAACATAATTTAACTATTAAGCCATCTTTGGTTGTACTAAAATCCCCGCCCCCACCCCATCTCATTAATAAATTTTCGATATTATAGATTCTCCCAACCTGTCCCTTATATTTTTAGAGGATTTTTGTTCTTGTTTTCTTAGTACAAATTGTGTATTGTTATAGTTGTACTTATATAATGCAATCTTATTTAACTTCATGCACATGGCCTCACTACCTGTGCTTTATCAACTTCCCACTATCCATACATGCTACCCTTTTGAAGGGCTTCATAACTGTTAATAACCCTCTAATCATGCAGTATCAGTGCTTATTAGTAGCTAATTACCTTGTTATGTTTGTTGTTATTGTTAAATATCCTTTACACCTTGATTATTTCTATTACTGTTATTCTTAATCCATGCAGATGGTTTCTTATTAATTTCATATATATTGTCCACAAGTTTACTAAATTGTCATTTGTGCTTGATAACGATAAGAGGATACTTGTCGAAACGTCGTGCTTTTAAAATAAACTAGTGATTGTATCCCATAAAAACTGTGTTCTGTTATTTTAATATAACACAAACAAACATATTAAAATATAATAAACGACAAATATATGAATAAATTAGGCAGTAAATAGTAAACAGTATATATAAAGTAAATACTTGAATATAGTAAACACCGTCATTTTAGAATGGATACTCAGGGTGGTCTCTGTATCTGTAAAATAAAATATTGTACAATATAGAACTCAGGAACTAAAATTGATTCTGGGAAGTTATCTTACAGTAGAGTAAGGTTAACGAAGACGGAAAACCTGAATGCTACTTTTGATCTACATGAAAAATAATTAATTGCACAATATATTACTTACAGATCCAAGTGATAACATTTATGCCATTTATTTAAGGTACTGATAGTTTCAACGTCTGCTTCATTCAACGAGAAGTCAAATATCTGTAAAAGGAAAAAATAGCCTTGAATAACTCCAACTGGCTATCACAAGGATTCTGGTGCACGGGCGATAATTACGTCAAAAATCATCGACATTCAGGTCTCAGACTAATAATTCTCCCCGTATTGACTTCACTCTTAAATTCCTGACATTTCTTGGGAATTGGTTTATAACATTTAATATTCATAACCACAAAGAACCCAACATGTCACAACCATCTGAATAAAACTATTGAAGGGAGTTGACGGTTTGGAATTTTTGCTATGCCAAGTCAAAATAGTCAATGACTTTATTTTAGTGGGCGATCACCAGACGATCACATGCAAATGGGGGGAAAAGGGAGAAATAAAAAATTGCTATAAATAGAAACACTATATAACTGATCAGAACCACCAATTTACCATAAGTGTAACCGTAGTTAGTGAATCGAACATTCTCGTAACCATTGCTTCAGAAATATGTAGTAGGTCCAAGAGAAATGAAATGAAATAAAATGAAATGGGGTTTAACGTCCTACTATTCTGCTCCGAACTGGACTAATGAAGACGGTCATACGCCATACAGTGTGCTTTCGGGGGAAACTTTGCCCGGACAGCGGCACTACGGCCTACTCTTATTTCGAATTCAAACTGTCAAGGGATTTTTACGTGTACGCCAATGTGTACACGGGACCTCGGTTTTTCGTCCCATCCGAACGGCCAGACAACTGTCCTTGACAGGCCTTGCGCCCTGCATCACTGACAAGGGTGAACCGCGCCGGAAAATCTGGGTGAACTTTCTCACCAATGCAGGGATCGAACACCCGACCTCCAGCGAGCCTGCGTCTTATCCGCTTAGCCACCGTGACCCCAGGTCCAAGAGAAGACCAAGATAACCAGGAAGAGAATGGTGATTAGAGAGGCTATTTTTGGTTCCCATGGCAATCAAGTGGAAGAAAACTAAAGCCCAGAGAGAGGGAGAGAAATGGGGTTTAACGTCCACTCGATACGAACTGGCTCATGGTTCAATTTTATTTCAATAATTCGCTTGCGCGTAGGGGTCTTTAGCAGTGGGAGGAAACCGGAGGACCCGGAGAAAACCCACGAGGTTGGACAGGCGACCCTACTCCTTGTCACGTACAACCGGGGGATCGAAAGCACGCCAGTTGACTCAATGACAGATCTTATGATACAGCACGCACGGGCTAACCATTCGGCCATCCAACCCCCCACTAAAGCCCATTTAACCTATTGACCTCTGTGATCATATTTTACCTCAATATTTTGTTTAATTCTGGCAGGTGTGACACTCTTTGGTATCAATGTATATCCTCGTTCAACTCCCCATCTTAATAATACCTAAAATAAAAATAAAAGATACGCCCCTGGATTTAAACTGTTTTATTAAAACATTTTTAAAAGAATTAAAACAAATACTGAGCAAGCTACATCAAATTAAACCTCACATAGTCACAATTAAAGCGCCATTAGTCTATTCAAGCAAGAACAAGTTGGCCCCATTAAACATATTTTAATCATATTAATTGTTGTAACAATATGATGGCTGTAACAATAACGATATTGTGGTCTTTAATCAAGATATTATACCAAGTAATGCAGGTTATTTTGATACGTTAACTGATCTATACATTAGTAAAAATGTTGGCCATTAACATTTTCCATGGCCCACTTAGGTAATAATCGCCACCTGTATGCAGGGTATGGTGCATATCTATTTTATATTTGGAATTTAGCTGTTAGCAGTCTATGACGTAAGCAATTAGGGATATTGGCACCTATAAAAGATCAAAACAAGGGCTCGAATGACCAGACACCAGACCCGCTTGGGTTCTTTAGACAACCATTTGATTCTCAGCCGACCATTTGATACCGAGTGGAATGGGGTTGAGGGAAAGAAATGTTAGTTTTAAGTGTTGAAATGTAGACTATTGTTATTGTTCCTGTTACATATTTGATTTTGGTTACGTGAGAAAACACAACGTTGAAGTCCTAAAGGCGAGAGATACAAGAGTAGCCAGTCCAGAGTCAAACCAACCACTAGTCGATCAAGGATAACAAAAGATATATATGTAACACGTTACATTGTTAAATATTTAAGATACAATATCAGGGGCGGACCCAGGAATTTTTGCAGGAGGGGGTTTGTCAGGTTCTTGAGACAATCTATCGTCATTTTGGCGTATATACATACACATTGAGCTTTTTAAAAAGAGAAATTCAACACCTCGTTTGACGTCAAATGTTATTATGAATTAATACAATGACATAGTGATTCAATTTCATGGATGCAAAGCATTAATTGTGATATTACACAATGTCTATATCATTATCTCGTGCTTTGAGTGCCCATCCTGTCCCACATCTGACGATAAAGGATAAAGCACACGGCTGAGAAACTTTTCTCATAACTAGTGTTGATTTACAAAAAAAATTATGCGTTCGTCACTTCCTATTGTTGAAACATTGATTATTCATCTATCGTAGCAATGATCTCTGTGATAAAATAATATTTGGAACGTGTTTAACCAGTTCTATCACATATGTGATAATGACTGGCACCAATATTGTCCTTTAACCAGAATGTTTGTTATAAAACATTAGAATATAAGGTCGTATAAATAACAAAACGAAAGGTGATTTATTTACCTGTGCCGCAGTCTTATTATATTTAGCCGCTATTTTTTGTATAGTTTTATCGACAAGTAAGTTAGCTGGCTTGAATTGATCAGCACTGTTAAATAGACAATACAATTATCAGACTTTAATCAACTTGAAGGGTTTTGTTGTAAGCAAGTTCAAATTAATACTTTTTAACAACAAAACACATACTTATGGAAAACAGCTACTAGTGTATTTAAGGCGACGTTTTGTAGAGTATTCTCTCAACGTTATCAAGCTAATACTTTTTAATTACAATTTTACGGTACTAACTTATATAATTTGCATAGTTGTTTAGAACTACCTAAAAATTGAGAAATCTTGACCATCATCCCTTCAACTATAATTTCCGTTAAGAAATGAGATGAAATGGGGTTTAACGTCCTACTTTTCTGATTTCCGTTAAATTTTTTTTTTCTAAACAATATTTATTCACAGAAACTGGATTGGAGAACAAGCAAAAGCCTATATACCCCCTCTCCATAAAAGTACAAACATAAATATATAATGAAAAGTAAAGTAAAGTAAAGTAAAGTAAAGGATTAAAATATAAGATGGCTATATACACTACATACACGATATGTACAAACCACAATCAGAATGTTTATATTTCATAAATTTACATACCGAATTTTCAAAATCTTTGGGAGATGTCGAGGAGGTTATGTACTGCCGAAAAAATATCTTCAGAATTGTTTCTGTCTTCAGTTCCGAATAATACATTTTGAGAATTTTGATAAAGTTTTGGAAGTTTTGATATTGTTGCAGATCCGTTAAATAAGCTAAGTCTCTAATTCAATATCATCAAAAATCTTCGACATTGAAAACACGAATTATTTGTCAATTCAAATCAACATTGGTCTTGTGATCTTACAGGGAAAAGATGGGCTTCTGATATCCAATATTCAAGACAAAATAAACATTTTACCATTGGTACACGAATCGTGTACCACAATGCGTTTCAGCGCCATTTGGAACAAGGGACTCAAAGAACGCGGCTAGACATATTCCACAAGTCATGTCAAATGGTGACACTATATTCTTATCTGGAGAGCATGCGCAATAACCAGGCGCTAAAGATTGCCATTCAATTGAGACTTCTGGCGTATTTCGCCGAACATAACTGATTAGAAATTACAGTAAAACCAGAAACGGTTGAATATAAATCAGTTTATATACATTCACATTACATTATTATATGCGTTGCGACCCATTTGTGTCAATTTCTAGATCCCAAATATTAGCGATTTAGCTCCTTTAAGGACGGAACTTTTTGCCTCTATCATGTCACTGAAAAGTTAATTAAAGCTATAAGTCTGACATCTGGTAGCACTACACATATAAAGATCCACTGTAACGATTTGGGATTTCAATAAAAAATTATATTGGGCATTTTATACAGATAGGTTTGACTTTTTGATTACATGAACTTTATAATAGCGGCTCACCATATTGTCATTTTACAATGCAAGTTGTATTATTTTTATTATTATTTTTATAAAAAAAAGTCCCGTCAATACCTGTTTGACATTCCTCTACCTAGAGGGGCGTAAGCAGTGACCACAATATTCTCTTGTTTACAATAATCTAATAATTCATTGTTAGTATAATATGGATGAACTTCAACCTGAAATAGAAAATATGAAAAAATAACCTGGCATACCAAGAGTTCTCCAGTATCAGTGCTGCACCCACTATGATAATGAAGCGGGCATTGATTCTTGTACATTTTAAAATAAAGAGAGAGAGAGAGAGAGAGAGAGAGGGGGGGGGGTCATTTTGGGAATAAAATATGGTATATCGTCATTTCGATAACTCGAGAGAGGGAGAGAAGTGGGGTCATTTGAATTTAATAATTCGTTTGCGCGAACTCTTTAGCAGTGGGAGGACCGCGTTCACATGTAGATAGCTTGTTTTCATACTAAAGTCACCAGGATGAAGAAATATAGATCAAGTATAAGAAGACTCTTGGGTAGGCCACGAGATCTTAAATGAACATTTTTAAATCAAGCTCTAAAATACTCTGTTGTTATTTGGATGTTCGGCTGTTTATTTTATAAACTGATTTTATTTTAATGTATTTTTAAATCTTTGTTAATTTTGTTTAAAACTCTTTTTTATTTTATGTTATGTTATATCATGGACCTTATATCATGCCAGTCCATGTATTATAAGGTCCATGGTTATATATTATAAGGTCCGTGATAAGGTTCATGGTTATATATTGATAAGCTTTTACACCTGTAATATTATATAAACAAACTCTTGGAAACAAACTGCAAAGCCCAACAAGATGATTAATGGTGTGTAAAGGGGGATAACTGTGTAAATATTTCAATTTTTCTGCAAATTATCGAATATTCGTTGTAATTATTATACTGGCATGCTGCTAATTGACGATATTAGGTTTGTATTTTACAATATTGGATAGTATTTGATAAATATTTGGTAGTATTGGGTTATTATTTGCTTGATTTGGGTGATATAGGGAGGCAAATGGAACAGCAAGTCATTGGTAATCACATTTGAAGTATATTTGCCACGATATATCTCACTATTTTTGAAAAGAAAATCAAGTAATATGCTCATTTTGCATCATTATGTTATAGTATTGGGTAGTATGTGCTGGTATTCGGGTGGTATTGGATAGTATTGGGTTGTATTGGGTAAATCGTCCCGTCGATACTCACTGAGCTTCACACTTTAAATGAAAAAGTAATTCGTAGGTGTCAGCCAATTTTATTTAAATTAACTCTTCTTTACTAGACTGGTAATGGGGTTTGGTGGACTAATTCACGTATATAGTCAAACGTTGTGTGTTTTCTAAATTCCTGATAGATGGCGAAACTAAAGAAATCTGTATTTTTTGTAAACAAGAGAGAATTTCAAATAGTTCAACCCAAATTTCTTCAAAAGTAAAGATTGTAAATAAGTCATTGCTCTGTAGACAGTGGGCAAAGTCCAAGGTTTAGGGAACAACGGCGCGAGCTTCAACTAGGGGAATGGGGGGGGGGGGGTGTCCCCATAAATATTCGAAAAACAGACTGCTTGAAATGCAGCAATCTGGCAGTATTTCAGGCACTGGTCGTTGAGATAAATATATCTGACCACTGGTTTATTCGACGAAGTCCCCCCCCCATAAGTAGCGAGCCCTTACGAAGGGTATGTGAGACCTCCCCCAGAAAATTTTTAAAAATAGACTGCCGGAAATGCAGTCTGACAGTATTCAGGTACTGATTTGCGAGATAAATAGAGCTGATCAGATTATGCCTGTTGCCCGCGATCACTAGTTTATCCGACCAGAGAGGAAATTGTCAAACGAACAGAGTTTGTGAATCAAAGTGAATCACTATTTTTGCCACGATATTTTGAGAAATGGACTGCCGAAAACGTAGCCTAGCAGTATTTCAGACACTGGTCGTCGAGATAAATAGAGTTGACCAGATACTGTCTGTCGCCAAATCGCTAGTTTATCCGAACAGAGAGGGAGTGTCAAACGAACGAACGGAGTGAGTGAATCAAAGTGAATGAATATTCTTGCCGAGTTGAACCTATGCCCCCCCCCCCCAGGCGCCGCCACTATCTGTAGAACATTGGGTCAGTTCCAAGAAGGTAAATACCTGATTAACTGCTGGTTTATATCTAAGATTATCAGCAGATAAAAGTCGTTTCAATTGTTGAATATTAAAATTAGAAACACCGATAGTTTTAACTAATCCTTTAATCACCAGTTCTTCCATCGCCTGAAATAAAAGATAATTATAATGCTGAAGTTTTGTTATAAACCAATTGTGGGACTGACAATGCAAGGAATAGAGTTGGAGAGTCTACATGGCACCATATTGTTTAAATGAAATGAAATGAAATGGAGTTTAACGTCCTACTGTTCTGCTCCTAACCTGGGCTAATGAAGACGGGCATACGTCATACAGTGTGCTATGAGGGAAATTTTGCCCGGACAGCGGCACTACGGCCTACTCTTATATCGAATTCCAACTGCCAAGGGATCTTTTACGTGCACGCCAATGTGTACACGGGACCTCGGTTTTTCGTCCCATCCGAACGACTAGACAGCTTTCCTTGTCAGCCCCTCCGTCCTGCATCACTGACAAGGGAGAACCACGCCGGAAAATCTGGATGAACTTTCTCGGCCAATGCAGGGATCGAACTGTCGGACCCCAGATCTATTCACTTGATAAGATAGTACTTATATTTTTTTTTAACGTCCGTGTTTTATGTGTGATGTGTCTTGTCCGCGGTTTTGTCTTCTGGGTTTATGTGCCGTACGGTTCTTACTATTAGAAAACTATATAATATGTGAATTACAAGACATATGTATCCTTACCTTCCATGTATCTATAAAATCAACATCATCGTGAGGCATCTTTGTTTTTAGAGCATCTCCCTGTTTACAACTTCCTTTCTGTAAACCATTGACGTGAAAAAATACAATATATCATCATTGTAACACAGATTGGATAATACTATTTAAAGGAGCTAATTCTCTGTTCTTTAGTACCTAGAAATTGACACAAATGGATCGCATGGCGTATAATAATTTAATATGAATGTATATAAGCAGATATGCATTCAATCGTTTCAGTTTTTGTTGCGATTTCTAATCAGTTCTGTTCGGTGAAATAGGCGAATCGCAGTCTTTGGCGTCTGGTTATTTCAGTCTACACCGGTATTATTCTCCTGTGGGTTATGTTTAGTCTCGTTCATCGAGTCGCTTCATTACAAATGGCACTCGAAAGCATTCTGACACGCGATTCGTATGTCATTTTATTTTTTTTTATTTTTTTTTAAATCATATTGAGTTAAAGACTTGCCTCCTTTAAAGTTTATTAATCTCAAGGGGCAATTTCCTGATTTTGATACACGGTTGAATGGTCTAAAGCTCTGCAAGGATGTTTATTCTGCATGACGAATATTGTAGGCCTATGTGTAACTTTCATACAATGCTGTAGGTCCATATGTAACTTTCTTACAATATTGTACATATATGTGTAACTTTGGCTAATCGCCTTACTAAATATAATAAAATATGTTTAAGCTATTTTAGTTAAGAATTTGTGCAGAATTGATCGAAGACTGCTATGTAATATCTGGATAAACTCGATAAAGTTAATACATGTACTTACGACAGCAACTGGACAGTGTATAAGATACAAATCCAGATAATCAGTTTGTAGTGACGTCAATGAATCCCGACACATTTCTTCCACTGATTCCGGACGATGATGGGTATTCCATAACTTTAGGAATTAATTGGAAAATAAAGATATCAATGTAGACTCCCAAAATATCAATATTAAGTCATTTTGCAGTATGTTAGTATTAATAATAAAATACCATTAAAATGTATCACGACACAAGTTATCAGTGTCGGTGTCAGAATTTTTCAGTAAGGCGCTGCTGGAGTCGTTACCATGAGAATTTCCAGAAATTTCTTGCAAAACACACGATTTAGTACGGAAGACCATTTGTGTCAATTAAATGAAAAAAAAATATTCTGACTATCTTGTAATTACAAGATAACCATTTTATATAACTATCTTGTAATTACAAGATAGTATTCTTGTAACTATCTTGTAATTACAAGATACGGAGTAGCCCATTAGGGTCAATCACATGAAAAAAAAAGTGTTCTAACCAGTTTATTTCAAGGTCGCCCTACACTGATTTATCGGATAGCTAGGCAAGCGAAGTACTTTTTTATGTTACGGGATTGGCACATTCAGATCATGCTCCCATTAATATCATTAGCTATTTCGTGCCCTCATTAAAAACCATTCATTAAGTTCATACTCTCATTAACTTCATAGTTCCACCAACTTCATACTCTCATTGATATCATTTATTAATGATTCATTGATTTCATGCCCTCCTTAAAGATACTTTCCCGCGTACAAACTATGTGATATGATGATATATTTGGACTAATAACATATTCAAACTAATTAATCTATCAAAAATTTGCTTCAAATCCCTCTCAAAACTTTGTATTCGTCGGGAGATACCGCAAGCTATAAATAAACTGTTGTTAGACGCCGTGTCCATTTTTCATAATGTATTTTCGTTACTTACTGTCCATTTATCGTACATATTGAGACCTAAGTAAATTCTTAATTATTTTCTGTCAACTACTTTTTCCGTTGACACACCTCAATGTTCCCCAAACCGCCTAACCATTTGAACAAGAAATAACAACCGCTCCCCCAGTCAAGCTAGCACGCAATAAGCTGGCAGACAACAGTTGGGTTGCCAGTTAGTGATACCCTAAAATTTTTGCCCATTGCTTGCCCCATTGGTGTTTTTCGGGTAATCCAGTATTTTTCCAGTACGATTGGGTGTCTATACTTTCCATATATACCAAATTTGCTATACTTTTATTCGAAATAACCACCCGATAAATACTTTCGGCACAATAATAATAAGCCATGGTTTGCCATTTACATTTTTCAGAAACTTTTGAAAATCCAAGCCTGAATGTATACCAATTAATTATTAAAGAACTCAAAATCAAGATCGCAACGATAGATAATTTCAGGCTTGGATTCAATCGAATTAAATAGAGGCGCATCAAAGAGGTTCAGCGAAACGTAAAGATGACAACGTCTTGTTTAATAGGGATATAGACGAAAAGGCTCTAATCCAAAACGACCAAAACGTGTATGACCGTGTAAAGTTAAAACGAACGAAAACAAAACGGCCAAAAATGTGATAAAAACTTAACTAAATATACGTCAGTGGGTTCTTATTAAAGAGTGTATGGTTCTATTATTTGGAACCTCCAAATAGACAAAAATGGTTCTAAAAGAATATATTAATGTAATATGAATATATACTATTCAAAAAAAGTAGGGGATATTTGATTTTTAAGTTTTATTAAAGTCACCTAATGAAACTGACGAAGAAACAAATGACAAAATGAAATGAAGTTCACATTCATCGATTTATTCCAAATGATCGTTAGACTAAGTAAGGCACAGACTGACCATTATAAGGGTAAAATGATACCCGGGGTCAAACAGCAAAGTTACCACAGCATCACAACCAAGTCAGTAACGTTTAAATCATCCTCTGTTTGCCAAACAAGCATTGATCCGACGTGGCATACTCCTAATGAGACGTCTAAGGTCATTTTGGTCCAGATTGTCCCATTCCTGTTGCAACGCAGCAGCAAGTTCTTGGACATTGGCAGGACGTTGTTGACGTTGACGTAACCTCTGTCCAAGCATGTCCCAGACATGCTCGATGGGGGAGAGGTCGGGACTCAGTGCTGGCCAAGGTAATGTGGTGATGTTCTGTTGTTGGAGGTAACCTGTAACGATCCTGGCCCTGTGACATCTTGCGTTGTCATCCTGGAAGATGAAACGGCGGCCATGACGTCGTGCGAACGGCACAACATGGACTGCCAAGATGTTGTCCCGGTAGTACTGGCCTGTAACACGCCCTGCAACAACATGTAAAGCCGTTCTTCCAGCAACAGTGATGCCTCCCCACACCATAACAGAACCACCCCAAATCGATCATGTCTGATGACGTTAACGTCTTGGAAGCGCTCGTTTCGACGACGCCACACCCTCCTACGTCTGTCCAAAAAATCAACAGTGAACCTTGACTCATCTGAAAACATCACATTGCTCCAGCGTCGATTATCCCAGTGTTGACGATCCCTACACCAACGACGTCTTGCCTGAATGTGATGATCTCTCAAACAAAGGATCACGCGAGGACGTCGGGCGCGAAGGTGACCCCTATGCAGTCGATTCCGAATCGTCTGGCCACTCACTCTCACACCAGTGTCTGTTTGAAGACGAGCGCTGATCTGATTTGCTGTGATGACACGATTTCTCAAGGCCAAGGTACGGATAAATCGATCCTGGGCTTGAGTTGTCGCCCTTGGTCGACCTGAGCGTGGTCTGTCCTGTACAGATTGTGTATCACGGTATCTGGACCATAGCCTGCTTATGACAGACTGAGAAAAATTCATCGTCCGCGCCACAACCGCCTGTGTTGTGCCGATCTGTAGCATGCCAAGGGCACGTAACCTTTCATTTTGGGTAAGCCGACGCATATCAAAATTTGTTTTCTGGTCACTAAAACAATTAAACTGATGTTTCCACCCTGGAATTCAATGCCACAATGACTGTAACATTCAAAGTCAGAGTCGTGCAAATCTTGGGTTGGACCCCCATGATGATCCCAAGCATCACATGCATTCCATGCGGTAGCTATTGGTGCGTTTGGGCGTCACATGTAACTGGAAATGTTTCTTCTGTTAGGTTCTATAGTGACTTTTTTCGTAGTCATTTGCATATTTTAGTATTATGCCCCCAAAATCAAATATCCCCTACTTTTTTTGAATAGATATATGTTAAGTGATTATTCAATTTTTGAAAACAAAATTGTAATTTCTAATCAATTATGTTCGGTGAATTACAGTTCAAATTGAACGGCAGTCGTTTACGCCTGCTCAGTGCATTCTACACGTTTTTTTAAATTATTATTTTGTCGTTTGTGAATCAGCCTTTACTAATTACTTTCACATTATGTTGTAGGATATGTTTTTATTTGTTCATTACAAAATGGCACCCGAAGCCATAGGGTACTGATAATAAAATGTTAATTGTGTCTTAAATATTGGATATTAGGATCATCTAGTTTCACGGCAAGATAACAACATCAATATTGATTGAAATTGATCAATATTGAATTCTAATTCGTGTTTTTAATTTCAAATATTATGGAAAATATTGGGTTAGAGACTTAGCTCCTTAAAACATACATTATGCAAGAGCTAAATCTGCCTAACGGAGGTCTTTCTTTAGGCCTGAAATGTTATATAAACTATTAATTAGACATTTATTAACGTTACAAGACAACAATCAACTCCGATTTTCAACAGATTTGAATCATATCTGCTGTTCAATGGCTGTTGATGATTAACCGTAAAAATGTTTTTTGTTTTAGTTCATTTTGATTTCGCACAGTTTTAAATTTCCTGTTGAAATGGAAAAATTCGCTAAACTCGGTAACTTCTGCAGACAATAAAAACAGCCAAAAATCAAAATTTAAAGAAGTTTTCCGAAAAATATAAATAGCGTTCTGTGGCTTTAAGGAGAGCATTAAAATTGATGAAGTTGGTGGGAGTATGAAGTTAATGGGAGTATGTACTTTATGATTTTAATGGAGGCATGAAAATAACGAATGATATTTATGGGAGCATGACATGAATGTGCCGATTCTGTAACATAAAATAAAGTACGGCATTGACCTAGCTATTCGATAAATCGGTGTATGGCGACCTTAAAATAAGTTACCGATGGGCTTCTCCGTATCTTGTCTATCTTAGGCTATCTTGTAATTACAAGATAGTCAGAATTTTTTTTTTCATTTGATTGACCCTAATGGGCTTCCGTAATTTAGAGTCCGTCATATTTAGGGAAAACAATGGACAGAAATAATTGCATCTTAACATCATCAGAAAGGCAGAAATGGGTTCGTTGGATGGGGTGGAGTGGGGAGGGCCGTGCCCCCCCCCCCCCTGGCGAAATGTTATCAATGATAGTCGAAGTATCAGTAAGACGCATTTACCTTGCTTGTTAAAAACAAATCGGATCTTTTCAATAGGCCATCTTTTATCTTTTGTGTGATCGCGTCACTAAGTTCTTCCTCAGTTTTATATAGCCAGGCTGTATCAAAATGACGATATCCAACTTCTAAAGCTACGCGTGCTGCATCTCGTACTTCATTTTCCTACACATAAAAAAGTAAAAAAGAAAATATTACATAATTATTTTATGCTTAATATTGGAAGGGTTTAATGAAAAAGACAAATGGTACACAATCAGAAATTTTGACTTCTACATTAGCACTCAGATGTATATCTGGAGTCATTGTGGGGAAACGAGGGTGCTTCTAGTGAAATGAAACACCGAACTTGTCTATAGGGCAACTGGGCAAGCTACTGTCCTAGTCATAGCCAGAGTGTAAATGAAATTAAATATGGCTATTATAGGGAAATTTTACCCGGGCAGCGGCACTATGGTCTATTCTTATTCCAAATGTCAATGGTTCTTTTGCATGTACGTCAAATGTGTAGACGGAACACATATACGCTGTCTCTTGCCAGGCCCTCCGTCCTACATCACTGACAACGGAATACCATGCCGAAAAAAAATCCTGATGAACTTTCTCGTCCAACGCAGGGATCGAACACGGGATTTCCAGGTTAGCGGGCCAACGTATACTCACTGAGCCACCCTGGCTCCAGCCAGAATGAAACTCAGCCATTTCGCTCATATTGTGGGTAACTTTACAACCACTGGAAGGTGATGATATTCAGTAAAATATTGTGGTTGGATTACTACTAGTGTATCTGATAGAGAGAGAGAGAGGGAGAGGGAGGGTTTAACGTCCACTCGACACAAACTAGGTCATTTCGGGATTAACACATGGTTCAATCCCACTTTAACAATTCGCCTGCCCGTAGGGGTCTTCACCATTCCCTCTCTGGTCATTGCTGGATTGATTTCTGATACTTTAGCTTTTGGGGAAGTGTGTCTTCTTCCCGTTCAATCAAATGTCTCCTAAGTAGTAAGTACAGCAACATGACAGCCCTTCGTTTACCTGGGTCTTCCCTAAAACTTTGGACAGTGATTTAAGGTATTAAAACGGCGAAAGTATTGTTCGTCTCCAAGCAGTATTGTTTACATTGTAAACATTGATAGCCCCGATTGTCCAATCTGTTTCACAGAGAATTACGAGTCTAGTAATATCTCTGTCAAAGATGACTGTCTTAACACGTGCCGTCACAGCACGCGGGTGTCAATCATTGACTGAATGGCGCGTGCATTGTTTACATAAGACATTACTGCTTCGGGCGGAATGCTGCCTTTTAGTCATTTTAATACCCATTTACACTAAATAGGAAATGATTTTTACCTACAAATATGTCAAACGCCTTTATTTATTCTTCCAATACATTAAAAAAATGTTTTTGAATTTAATTTGTCGCAGGAAAAAAGTTAATATTTCTGGGTCATTAAGTCGCATCGATGTCATCCGTATCAGTGATTGTAGCGGCATAGCGAAAATTCACTGCTGATCAGTGTGCCGATTGTCAATTAGTTTCTCTGCAATATTCTGCTATGCACTGGTTAATTTGGCGTAATAAATTTCGTGAATCATGACGTAACGTTATGTAGGCTAAGCATATCTAGAGCTCTGTTTAAACCCGAATGATATTGTGACGCAGTTAGGTATTGATTGTTAATAGGACTATTGACCAGCCATAATTTGGAACAGAAATTTGCTGTTATTAAGCGGTGGGCCCACTAGCCGAATCGTTCGGCCGAATCAATCGGCGTCGAAATTCGCCTGTGTCCACTGTTATTCGGCCGAATGTAGAAATTCATTAGCCAATCACCACTCATCAGGAGAAGTCGCGTGATTGTTTGAAGACACAGACGCCGCCATGTTTAATCATGTGATGCAATCGACTGGTGAATCGGGCGAAGCATTCGGCCAGTGTGCCCACCCATTAGGCCGAATAAATTTCGGCGCCGATTGATTTGGCCGAACGATTCGGCTAATATGTCCACTGCTTTACAGCAGTATTTGAGTGGGGTTAGGTCTGCGAGTAGTTGCTTTAGTAACGAAAATATGAGAAGGTAGGGCTCTCATATTTTCGTTACTAAAGTAACTAGTCTGCGAGGAGAATGGTACGCCTATGATCTAATGCGTTCTATGTTAAACCCGGCGCTGTGGGCTTCACTATAACACTTTAATGGAGATTTGAAATTTCTATTGTCAAGTTCTGTTTACACGTACGGTTTACACGGTCAGATTCCTGGACCAGTGTATCGGTTTACATAATAATCCAGTCATCGCTCGACAACTTACATTATGATGTGCATACTATTTCAGTGATGCGTTTTCTCTGGATTACTGACAACTGTATTCAGATTCAGATGCATAACAAATTTCAGCTCAATGGATGCTTTGTAACTTGAAAAGAATAAGAGAAAATCTTATGGATTTTGTCATCTGGTATCTTTATACCAGTGTTTTTAACAAAAAACTTTCAATTGTTGTGTTTTCAAAACACGCTTACCTTAAATGTGTTAAATGCACCATAACCAATAACCGGCATATAAACACCAGTGTTTAATTTAACGTTCGGTATTTTGCTAGCCGACATGCTGGATAGGTATAACGATATTCTTTTCTACTGCACGGCTGACACATATTAGCCTATTGTATAACTGTTTATCTATGAATAGAAAGCTCTAACGAATAAAGTAGTTCGCCACTTAAAGTATCACATACAACTGGTTATATAAAATTGATAAAGTGGGTATTCTGCCTAGTTTTACGCACACAGATAGTTTTACTAACTTTATTGATAAGAATATTTAATCTGGTATCAATAATAACGCCATAAAAAGCCGTGGTGACTCTATACACTACAATAAGAATATGAAAATTGTGAAAGCTTTTCAATCAAACGACATTAAGAAGGGAGGTAATTCTAAGCATGGAGTCATTCGGTAACGTCACTTCAAACATAATGAATACATCGTCTATTAGCAGAAAGCATAACAGCACAGTGGGTCACCGTTTATAAAGGGCGATAGACTATAATATATCTCGCCATAAACCAATCCATTAAAAAAAAAGAATTTTTTCTTAAATGTCTTCTCAGATCCCTTATAATCCTGTGGGGCGGCCCTGCGCTTCACGAAATTTATGACTTTTGATAAGTGTTCCACAAGATATGAAATGTTTAAAAAATCTGTTCTCAGATCTGAGAGTGAATTTACAGACTCCTCTACACTAGGTGAAGTCGGGACTAAGATATTAAATTATTTTTTTTTATCTCGAAATGAGAGGAAACTTTCTTTTATGTATAAAAAATATTTTATTCTGAAAAGGGATTTGGAAACAGACATAGTTTATATTACGCCCTGCCATATTATTGTTTAAGAGGCGGAAGGATAACATATCTAAGAAGTTTGTTACGGTGATATGTACGGCGAAAAGTTACATGTTTACCAGGGGCTTATTTCAATAATTAGCTTGCGTGTAGGGGTCTTTAGCAGTGGGAGGAAATCGGAGGACCTGGAGAAAACCCAAGAGGTTGGACAGGCGACCCTACTCCTTGTCACGTACAACCGGGAACTCGAAACCACACCAGTTGACTCAATGACAGGCTTTATGATACAGAGCGCACGTGCTAACCATTCGGCCATCCAACCCCCCGTGTACTGACGAGCGTTGCGTCATGGTTTTGAAAAAAAATTTGTGCCCCCTCGCAAATTTTGGCAAAAAATCACGCGGTTTCAATGCGGTTTTCAACATTATAATCATAATCATAATGCCTAACCAGTGTCAGATTTTCCGGCGTGGTTCCCCCTTGTCAGTGATGCAGGACGGAGGGCTTGACAAGGACAGCTGTCTAGTCCTTCGGATGAGACGGAAAACCGAGGTCCAGTGTATACATTGGAATGCACGTAAAAGATCCCTTGGCAGTTGGAATTCGATATAAGAGTAGACGATAGTGCCGCTGCCCGGGCAAAATTTCCCTCATAGCACACTGTATGGCGTATGCCCGTCTTCATTAGCCCAGCATAGGAGCATAACATTAGGACGTTAAACCCTATTTCACTTCATTTCATTTACTTAACCAGTGTCAAACATATACCGTGGGTCAGATATGCTACAAATTGACTCTAGCATGTTTTGGGGGGCCCCGGTGGGATCTTGTTCCGCATGCAAAATCTTGGGTCACCACGCCCCTGGTGTTTACTCATACAGGCTGTGGGGCAAGACATGGTTAGACACGACTATATGGTGGGGAACAATTGAAGCCGTGCAAAGAGACAACATTAATGTCAATTTGACAATCTTGATCGTCAGGTCATCTCCCCATGTTAACGAACACTAATTTGTGGATATATTTGGACAAAAACATATTTAAAGTAGCTAAGTATCATCAAAAATCTTCTACGTTGAAAACACGAATTATTTGTCAATTCAAACTAACATTGGTTATGTGATCTTACAGGGAAAAGGTAGGCTTCTGATATCCAATATTCAAGACAAAATAAACATGCGTTTCAGCGCCATTTGAAACAAGGGACTCAATAAACGCGACTAGACATATTCCACAAGTCATGTCAAATGGTGTCGCTATATTCTTATCTGGGGAGCATGCGCAATAAATATTATCGGCGTAGACTGGAATAACCAGACGCTAAAGATTGCCATTACATTGAGACTTCTGGCGTATTTCGCCTAACATAACTGATTAGAAATTACAGTAAAAACAGAAACGGTTGAATGTAAATCAGTTTATATACATTCACATTATATTATTATATGCGTTGCGACCCATTTGTGTCAATTTCTATGTCCCAAATATAAGCGATTTAGCTCCTTTAAACTAATATATCCATTAAAAGTTTGCTTCAAACCAATTGCAAGAGAAATACTCCCATGACGCAAGACTCAAGAATCCTTGTTTGTCACGTGATTGACTGAGGGAGGATCTATATTCTGCTTTTCTATTAGTCGCATTCCAATCCCCCTCCCCCATATACCTTTGTCTGTTTGTATTTACTTGCCATGTATATATTGTTTGTATGTAACTATAATATTTGCGTATATATGTTATATGATGAGTCAGTAGACTTAAAGAAATAAAAGAATTCAATTAAACCATAGATATCGAAGTCTAAGTAAATTTTTGGATTACCCACTGCTAACTGCTCGTTTTCCGCCGTTTAATCGTATAAAGTCTACTGGATGGTTATGTCTCTCACATAAGATCAGCAGAAAAAACGCTCATTACGTTTTTACATTGATTGTCCTGTTGGCACCACGTCGGTGTTTTTCAGGGAATCCAGTATCTTTCTAAGATTGAGCGTCTCTACTTTCCGTATGTACCAAATATGCCATACAATATTAGAGAATTTCACTAAATTTTGTGTCAAAATTAGGACAACTTAACACAAAATCTCCACGCCCCCCCCCCTCTACTTTTTATCTGCGTTACCCTTTTACTACATGGCGGGATTGTGATGTCGAATGTGTGTACTTTCACTCAAAAGGTCCTGTCATCGATGCAAATGTTGTGATTTCGATCGGTCGCTTGGGTTTTACAAGGAGTATAGTCGCCTGTCTGACCACGGCATGTGATCGAATAAAGATATGCATTGCGTTAGTGCCAAATAAATTATAAATAGTAAACAGTATAACAGTATATACATGTATAAAGTAAACAAGTAAATACTTGAATATAGTAAACAAGTAAATACTTGAATGTATAATTTCAGAATGGATACTTTGGGTGGTCTTTGTATCTGTAAAATAAAATATTATACAAAATAGAACTCAAGGAACTTTAAATTGATTCGGGGAAGTAATCTAATGTAAAGCTTTTGACGTGGGATACGAATGCAACGAATCGCCCAGAATCCAAGCTTTTTCCGATTCGTAGATAAATCGTAGACTTTTCTTGAAGTTCGTAATGCTACATTCCCCACTGTCGTGCGATTGTTCCGATTGAGTCCACGATCTGCTATGTCCAGATACGTTCGGATACGTTTCGATTACCAACGAATTATCGTAACTCTTTCGTAAACTATTCGTAACTGCTTCGAAGCTATTCGATTCTCTACGATCTTTTTGATTTTTTTTTTGCCGAAGCGCTACGACTTTCGATTAATTTCGATTCGCCACCATTCCGGACGATTCGTGTGAATAGATGATATATTTGGACTAAAAACATATTCAAACTAATTACATGTAATCTATCAAAATTTTTTGCTTCAAATCCTTCTCAAAACATTGTTTTCGCGAGGGAATACCTCTGCTATAAAAAAAAATCTATTAAAAGAGGCCATCTTTGTGTCGCGTGGCCTGGCTGACGCGGTACCTAGCAACAAGTGCGAAACCGGAGAATTCATTGTATATACAAGACGATGTTGCCATTAAGCGCTGTCCATTTATCACCAATATCGAAGCCTAATTAAATTCTCGGATTATCCATTGCCCACGTCCTTTTCCTTGGTGTTTATCTCAGGAACTGTTGCACGCTTAAATTCACCATAAAGTTCATCAACATATTAATACATCAAGCGCTCGCCAACAATGAGCGATCAGACAATCTTCGCGTGCAACCTTTGACGTCACTCGAGCAGACATCCCCAATCGTCGGGTTGCCGGTTAGAGAAACCCGATAAATACTTGTGTGGGGAAGTATCTTCAATAAATTTAAAAATCACATCAAGCTCCAAATGTATAAAATAATGAATTACACCAACCCTATATTTATCGTTTGGTGTTTAATTCATTATTTTATACAATTGGAGCGTGACGTGATTTTTATATCTTATCGTTGGTGTTGTACATACGTATACAATTTCACACAACGTCGTCTTTATATTATATATTGTTATTGGCATACTTATTCAACAAGGACGTTACTCAATCTATTTAATTTTTACACATGTGACGGCGTTAAGGGGCATAAAAGGTCTGACTATTCATTTTATTCGTGCAAACCAGTGAGCTGTTAAATAGAAATATATGTTAAAGGACAATATTGGTGTCAGTCATAATCACATAAGTGATAGAACTCGTTAAACACGTTCCAAATATAATTTTAACATAAAGATTATTGCTACGATAGATGCGTAATCACGGTTTCAACAAACGGAATTGACGAACGGAAGTGACGAACGCAATAGGAGGCAGACCACCATTAAATTTCACCATCTCGGCAGACCACCATTAAATTTCACCATCTCGGTACCCATGGTACCCACAAATTGTAGTTCGTCTGTTTATAGCTATTCTCGCTGTGTCTCTTTTCTCCCTTTTTGCATGCCTATTTTTGTTGATTTTTTGGTCTAGAAGTGACGAGTGATAATAGATACACGGGCGAATTTCTGCTCACTAATAATTCCTTCGAAGACCAAAAGTTGTTGTATGAGACTGTGAGAGACTATCTGACAATTCAAAACAGAAGTTGACTGTAACTAGAAAAGAGAGAACGAAAAAATATAGAAAAAGTCCGTACCATGTTTTTATTAAGTATAGAATGAATAAAAACAAGTGAATGTACGGACTATTTCTATTTTTCTCGTGTTCTTTTATCTAATGACATTCAATTACTTTTTTGAATTGTTAGATGTCCTCTCACAGTCTCACATAACAACATTTGGTCTCCGACAATAAAATGACGCAAGACGCAAGAATCTATTTCAAGAATCTTTGTTTGCCACGTGACTTCACTGAGGGGGGATCTATAATATAGGATATTATTCTGATTTTCTGTTAGTCGCAGTCCATTTACCATAAATATTGAAGTCTATGCAAATTCTTGGATTACCCACTGCTAACTGCTTTTTTCCCGCGTATAGGGTCTACTGAACGGTTATGTCTCTCAATATTCTGACAACCGTCAACCATTAGATCAGCACAAAAGGCGTTCCTTACGTCAGACTGCAAGATGGAGATACCCTTACATTCCCTATTGGCAGGGAAAGCAGTATTTTTAGATTAAGTGTCTACTTACACTTGAGTGTACTAAATATGCCATACAATATTGTGTACTTTTGGTCAAAAAGTCCTGTCATCGATGCAAATGTTGTGATTTCGATCGGTCGCTTGGGTTTTACAAGGAGTACGGCCGTCTGTCTGACCCCGTAAGATTTCTTTGGATTATGCATTGCGTTAGTACCAAATAACCTAGTTCAATGGTTGACAGCTAAAGTCTCATTCAGTGGAAAAATATTTTAGTTTTAAGGTTTCATGAATAAACAGTAAAACAATGAATGTAGTATTCAGTAAACATTTAAATATAGCACACATCTACCACAGAAATATAATATAGGCAAATATATGCATATAAAATGAAATGGAGTTTAACGTCCTAATTTTTTGCACCAACTGGTCTAATGAAGACGGGCATATGTCATACAATGTACTATGTGGGAAATTGTGCCCAGACAGCGGTGCTATGGTATGCTATTATTTCGAATATAGTAAACAGTATATATAAAATACTTTATAGTATAGTTTTAGAATGGATACTCGGGGTGGTCTCTGTATCTGTAAAATAAAATATTATACAAAATAGAACTCAAGGAACTAAAATTGATTCTGGGAAGTAATCTAATGCCCCGCTTTCACGTGGGTTACGAATGCAACGAATTGCCCCGAATCCAAACTTTTTCCGGTTTGTAGATAAATCGTAGACGGTTCTTAAATTTCGTAAGTCGCGGATCACTTTCGCATGGGTTACGAATGCCACGAATCGTCCCGAATCCAAACTTTTCCGATTCGTAGATAAATCGTAGAGGGTTCTTGAAGTCCGTAAGTGATTCTTATTTGGTTCTTACACATTCGTAGAGTTCGTAGTTCGGTCAAAAAAGTTTTTATTGTCAAAAAATTTCGTGGCCGGTCGTAGCCCTTTCTTATCACCCGTAACAGCTTCCTATTCGATTCATCCGTGGAGGGCGTAGTGTATTCGTAACTGAATTCGGCATAGTCGTAAGCAATTCGTCATGTTCGTAACTCATTCGTAACTGAATCACTACAATTTGTAGTTAATTCTTTCATTTCGCACCTGTATCGTAACCCTACCGGCATATTTTTCAACCAATTACCCACGAATTATTGTAACTCGTTCGTAAACTATTCGTAACTACTTCGTAGCTACTCCCGACTCTCTACGATCTTTTTTGATTTTTTTTTTGCCGAATCGCCACGAAATTCGATTAATTTCGATTCACCACCATTCGGGGCGATTCGTGGCTAAGGATAAAGATTAAGACTCGGAATGCATTGCCTCTATTTATAGCAATTCCCTCTTTTCCTCCCTTTTGCATGTCAACTTTAGTTGACTCTTTGATCTAGAATCGAAGAAGAGTGTTTAAATTTCCATTTTGTGTCAGGATATTCATGATTTTGAGACATAAGTATCAGGAGTAAAGAGACATGAATTAGGGTGATCGCCTAAAAAATAACGAAACTGTCCATGATTCCTTTGCCCAGGGCTAGCAAAAAATCGAAACGGTCTGGCTGTCGTTATAAAGATTTAGATGATCGGAAAGTTAAAAATCTTATATGTCAAGAAATGTCTTGGACTTAACTTAAGTCAACGGGGAGAGAATTACTAACCCAGATAGCCAATCGAGTGCCCAAAAGTGGTGACTTTATTTGATCAGCACGAAATATATTTAACTGCATGAAGTTTTACTTACAGTTCCTGGTGAATACATTTATAATCTTGATTTAAATTACTGATAGTTTTAACTTCTTCTTCAGTCAAAGAGAAATCAAATATCTGTAAAAAAAAAAGGGAAGCATTTGTTATGGCCAGAAATACGATTTCAAATTATTTAGTTGATTCCGTAATTTCAATCAACCAGCGTCCACGCGTAACATTTCGTTTCGCAATTTTCTGTATCCCGAAGTTTGTTAGTATTAGAAACGGAAGTTAAACGCACATGGCAGAAGCGTTTCATGGCAGTAGCTATTTGGCAGAACATAGCACTTTTATCAGTTATTAGCATTTGTCAGACCTTGTCAGCGGACCCGTATCTAGACACCATTAAGCGGGGGGGGGGGGGGGCATTACCTTTCGGTAGGGGGGCGAACATTTTGAGGAAATTTTCGGAAAGGTCATTCTAACAGACTGTTGTAATCATCATGCTATGTAGTTACCTAGGCGTCTATAATAATCATTTTAAAATAAGTATTCAAACAAAAAAAAATCGTGATTTTTTAAATTTGTGTAAAACTATTTTAGATTAGTACAAAAAAATGGTTTATAAAGTAATGAGATACCGTGGGATTAATATGCGCATAGTCGCCTGAATTATACCTCCTCCTGCTTAGGGAAGCGTAGTTTTTTTTAGGTTAATATAAGGAACTGTGTATACTTTAATGATTGTTAGCAATTTCTGAGCGGGGGGGGGGGGGGGCGAGCATTTCACGTGGGTGGGGGGGCGAGCATTTCACGTGGGTGGGGGGGCATGCCCCCCCGCGCCCCCTGTAGATACGGGCCCGCTTGTCAGCTATGTAAGAGATTTGAAGGGGATTCTCATAAAAACACGGTATTTGTAGTGTCAATTTAATATATTATTTAGATGTTCATTGTTTTAATTTTATGTGTATTATTGCAACATTGTCATCAGCTCCACACTGGTGAGTCATGGCATTGGACTGATGGTTTATAAAGTAATGAGATACCGTGGGATTAATATGCGCATAGTCGCCTGAATTATACCTCCTCCTGCTTAGGGAAGCGTAGTTTTTTTTAGGTTAATATAAGGAACTATGTATACTTTAATGATTGTTAGCAATTTCTGAGCGGGGGGGGGGGGCGAGCATTTCACGTGGGGTGGGGAGGCATGCCCCCCCTCTCTGTAGATACGGGCCCGCTTGTCAGCTATGTAAGAGATTTGAAGGGGATTCGCATAAAAACACGGTATTTGTAGTGTCAATTTAATATATTATTTAGATGTTCATTGTTTTAATTTTATGTGTATTATTGCAACATTGTCATCACGCTCCACACTCGTGAGTCATGGCATTGCACTGATGAGGTCCCCGCCAGGTCCGCTTCGCATGCTTATTTGACTGGTCGCTTTTCGTATCTCTATTGTTATTAGGTGTAGTCTGATTAGTGAGTTAATTCATATATCTAAACAATAGCGTTGACCTTGGGAGTAAAATACATTCCACCACAGTTTTTGTATTATACCATATTCATAGATTGCTACAGTTCTATGGTTAGATAAAGTTAATATTAGTAGTTGTCTCCCCTTAATCGTATTTCGTTTTACTGGAGAATAATAGTACATGTATTATGTTTTGCTCTATGATTATTTATAGAAATGTTTTGTTATTTTGTTTGGTATTTTGACTTAGTAAAGCCATGATTGCATTGTGTACCTTACTGTCAGCATTCATGAGCCTGTCCCTTGGCTTGAAAAGTTGATTACCTTGTGTAATGTTAACTACCAGTATTATTATCTTATTTCACACTTTTCATAATTATATTCCCATATTTACTCTAGTGTTTTTGTGTATTTCAGTTAATCGTCTTACGTCTTATGTCTTACATCATTTCAACTTTAATAATAAGAATTATGTTAATCTACATAACTTATGGCAATAGACGCATTAGTGTTCTCGCCCCGTTGGCAGTATAATCTCCTACAGCATTAAGTTATCTATAAAACGACTGGACTCAAATCTGGAGTATATTTATAGTCTATATTTATAATATATCAAAAGGGTTCTGGGGCAAGGGCGATAATTCTGTCACTATTCATCGACAGTCAACAGAGCATAATGTTATGATGTGAAACACAAAAAACCCCATTAAATTCTGTTGAGAAGTCTTTTCATTACAAGCAAGCGCAATAAGGCGTATTTTAGCGATATCCATTAAATTAGGAATTCGCTATGTTAACGTGTTTTTTAAAGCAAGTTTTGCCACGGTGTCTAAGTGAGTAAGACGTTTACCCGCCAACAGGAAGGTTCCGTGTTCGATCCTGGAGTTGCCTCTCTTCATAAGCCCAGTAGGCAAAGAACGTTAAACCCCATTTCATTTAATTTTCATTTAAAGCTAGGGCAACTACTCCGATTTATATAGGTTTCCATAAAAATCAAGTGGACGGCAACTAAAGCCCATTTAACCTGTTGACCTCTGTGATGATATTTTACCTCAATATTTTGTTGAATTCTAGCAGGTGTGACACTCTTTGGTACCAATGTATATCCTCGATCAACTCCCCATCTTAATATTACCTAAGATAAAAAAAAAAGATACGCCCCTGGATGTAAACTGAATGAGGAGCTGGCAACATATAATTATGAAAGCAACGGATGTCTACTCCAATAATAATTTCAGATATCAAATATCAGAAGGGTTCTTGTTCCAATTATCCCACCTCTACATAACCTAGTACAACGGAATAAGAATATGGCCCATCGTCTAAAATATCCACCAGCATTTTCCCCCATCATTAGCCCATTTGGAGCAGAAAAGTTAAATTCCCCCATACGATAGCTACGTTATGCAGAATGGTTAAACCCCATTTCATTTCATTTCGTATAAATATCAAAACGAATAGACTTGAAGTGATTTATTTACCTGTGCCGCAGTCTTATTATATTTAGCTGCTATTTTTTGTATAGTTTTATCGACAAGTACATTGGCTGGCTGGTATGGGTCAGAACTGTTCAATAGAAAATACCAAGAAACACGAAAATACAATTGTGGTGGTGGGTCAGCAAATTGCAAATTATTTATTAATAATTGAAGATATACATCTGACAGGGATAGTATGGGAATTCCATGTGTATAAAACATGTCAGTGACAAGCTAACCTCGGAACAGAAGATCGCAGAATACTGAATAACGTTAGGGTTCGACCCCTTATTTGAAAACGAATCAATCAAAAACTGTAGCCTCTATCGCGTTCACAATATTTTTGGAATAGCGGCGGTTAACTCTGGGGAGGAAGGTCCTCTCATGACCCCAAAGCTCCACACCCCATTTGAAAAGAATCTGTTAAAAACTGTATAGCCGTTATCGCGTTCAAGGGTTTTTGGAAATGTGGACCTCAGAAAATCCAAGAAATTAGAATTAACCTCATCCGATTCTTAATATTAAACGTTAACTCACATATAGTTTCGGACTAGAGTGGAACCTAATTGTCATTTTACAATACCGGTTGTATTAATATCTATAAGTTTACCTGTCTGCAGCTCCTCTACCTAGTGGAGAGTAGGCAGTGACCACAATATTCTCTTGTTTACAATAATCTAATAATTCATTGTTAGTATAATATGGATGAACTTCAACCTGGAATAGAAAACGGGAAAAATAATCTGGCAGTCAATGTTGGTAGTCTAGTATCAGTCATACTCTCCATACTGGTAGCATTCCAATTAACACGAGTTCTCTAATGAAAACTGGTAGTCTAATATCAGTTGTATTGTCCATGCTGGTAGCCTTCCGATTAACATGAGTCCTCTAGTATCAGTCGTACTCTCCATACTGGTAGCATTCCAATTAACATATAAGCCGTACTGTCAATTAACATGACTCGGTGCTGGATGTCTAGTATCAGCCGTACTGTCCATGCTGGTAGGCTTTCAATTAACATGAGTCCTCTAGTAAAAGCTAGTGGTCTAGTACCGGGCTAATGAAGTGTACTACGACAGGAAATTGTATCCGGAGTGCCATCGAGTACGCGTGTAGACCTAGTTTTTTCGTCCCATCCGAACAACTAGGCGCCTTTCCTTTTTGTGCCTTCCGTCCTTGCTGCACCTCGGTATTTAAGTAAATAACGATCTCTAGCAATTCTTTAACAAACCAATCCTAGATTATAAAGGGAAGGGAAGATTAAGTAAATACCTGATTAACTGCTGGTTTATATCTAAGATTATCAGCAGCTAAAAGTCGTTTCAATTGTTGAATATTAAAATTAGAAACACCGATAGTTTTAACTAATCCTTTAATCACCAGTTCTTCCATCGCCTGTAATAAAAGACAATTTATATAATTCCGAAGATCCTGCTTAAATATACCGTGTTTTGTTACAAGCCTAATATGGAACTCACAAATCAACGAATAGAATTGGAGAGTGTACTTCTAACCACAGGCGCCTGTAACGTGGAAAAGAGAGAGAGAGAGAGAGAGAAATGGGTTTAACGTCCACTCGACACAAACTAGGTCATTTCGGGACTAACACATGGTTCAATTCTATTTCAATCATTCGCTTGCGCGTAGGGGTCTTTAGCAGTGGAGGTAACCGGAGGACCCGGAGAAAACCCACGAGGTTGGACAGGCGATCCTACTCCTTGTCACGTACAACCGGGGAATCGAAGCCCCGCCAGTTGACTCAATGACAGACCATATGATTCAGCGCGCGCTTGCTAACCATTCGGCCATCCAACCCCCTTGGTCGTAACAGACTTTAAACATTACACTTGGCCATATAGCTTCGCCTAATGTTATTTTTGAAATATTGGATATTACTTGTTTACAATGTCAGAGTGTGTGATGCGTCTTGTCCGCGGTTTTGTCTTCTGGGTTTCTCCGGCACTTACTACTTACTACATGTATTACAAAACATCATACCGACCACAAACAATATTATAGATAGCCACACAACTTTGTCTCAACAGCAGATTATCCGATTGGAAAACTTGGATGCTGACTAAATTTAATAAAAAATCTAGCATCCTTCAAAAAATCTAATCTATTGTGTTTACAAGCTTTCCAGGGACAATTAACATATCTCTGTTACTGGAAAAAAATCCTGACATAAAAATAACTAAATATATCGTCACCTTCCATGTATCTATAAAATCAACATCGTCGTTAGGCAATCTTGTTTTAAATTCATCTCCTTTTTCTTTACCTGCTTTCTGCAAAACATTTATGTGAAAAAATACAATATATCGTCAATTAATACAGATTTGATAATACTATTCCAAGTTTATTAATCTGTCAATTTCCCGAAGTTTATACAAGGTTGGGTGGTCTAAAGCTCGGCTATGGTGTTTATAGACCTCTCATGTAGACAGTGGTCAAACATTATTGTGTGTTAATAGGTGATGTCGTGTCCCAAAACAACAACCGAGTTATGTTCATCAGATGTCATAAATCCACGTCGTTCTCTTTTGCAGACTTCAATGGGTTAAGTTATATACTATTCAAAAAAAGTAGGGGATATTTGATTTTTAAGTGTTATTAAAGTCACCTAATGAAACTGACGAAGAAACAAATGACAAAATGAAATGAAGTTCACATTCATCGATTTATTCCAAATGATCGTTAGACTAAGTAAGGCACAGACTGATCATTATAAGGGTAAAATGATACCCGGGGTCAAACAGCAAAGTTACCACAGCATCACAACCAAGTCAGTAACGGGTAAATCCTCCTCTGTTTGCCAAACAAGCATTGATCCGACGTGGCATACTCTTAATGATACGTCTAAGGTCATTTTGGTCCAGATTGTCCCATTCCTGTTGCAACGCAGCAGCAAGTTCTTGGACATTGGCAGGACGTTGTTGACGTTGACGTAACCTCTGTCCAAGCATGTCCCAGACATGCTCGATGGAAGAGAGGTCGGGACTCAGTGCTGGCCAAGGTAATGTGGTGATGTTCTGTTGTTGGAGGTAACCTGTAACGATCCTGGCCCTGTGACATCTTGCGTTGTCATCCTGGAAGATGAAACGGCGGCCATGACGTCGTGCGAACGGCACAACATGGACTGCCAAGATGTTGTCCCGGTAGTACTGGCCTGTAACACGCCCTGCAACAACATGTAAAGCCGTTCTTCCAGCAACAGTGATGCCTCCCCACACCATAACAGAACCACCCCCAAATCGATCATGTCTGATGACGTTAACGTCTTGGAAGCGCTCGTTTCGACGACGCCACACCCTCCTACGTCTGTCCAAAAAATCAACAGTGAACCTTGACTCATCTGAAAACATCACATTGCTCCAGCGTCGATTATCCCAGTGTTGACGATCCCTACACCAACGACGTCTTGCCTGAATGTGATGATCTCTCAAACAAGGGATCACGCGAGGACGTCGGGCGCGAAGGTGACCCCTATGCAGTCGATTCCGAATCGTCTGGCCACTCACTCTCACACCAGTGTCTGTTTGAAGACGAGCGCTGATCTGATTTGCTGTGATGACACGATTTCTCAAGGCCAAGGTACGGATAAATCGATCCTGGGCTTGAGTTGTCGCCCTTGGTCGACCTGAGCGTGGTCTGTCCTGTACAGATTGTGTATCACGGTATCTGGACCATAGCCTGCTTATGACAGACTGAGAAACATTCATCGTCCGCGCCACAACCGCCTGTGTTGTGCCGATCTGTAGCATGCCAAGGGCACGTAACCTTTCATTTTGGGTAAGCCGACGCATATCAAAATTTGTTTTCTGGTCACTAAAACAATTAAACTGATGTTTCCACCCTGGAATTCAATGCCACAATGACTGTAACATTCAAAGTCAGAGTCGTGCAAATCTTGGGTTGGACCCCCATGATGATCCCAAGCATCACCTGCATTCCATGCGGTAGCTATTGGTGCGTTTGGGCGTCACATGTAACTGGAAATGTTTCTTCTGTTAGGTTCTATAGTGACTTTTTTCGTAGTCATTTGCATATTTTAGTATTATGCCCCCAAAATCAAATATCCCCTACTTTTTTTGAATAGTATATTTATAGCACGGCTTTCATGAGTTGACAGGTTTACACATCGATTGTTAAAGAGATGTTAAAATATTGGTGCCAGTCATTATCACATATGTGATAGAGCTGGTTAAACACATTCCAAATATAATTTTATCACAGAGATCATTGCTACGATAGCTGAGTAATACAGGATTCGCGAGTCGGAAGTGACGAACGCCAAAGGAAAACACAGGACATACCTCTATATAACTGGCTGAAGTGCCGACTGATAACAGATACATGGGCGAATTTCTGCTCACTAATAATGCCTTCGAAGACCAAAAGTTGTTATATTGGACTGTAAGAGGATAGCTGACAATTCAATACAGTAATTGAATGTAATTAGGTAAGAGAACACGAGAAAAATAGAAATAGTCCGTACATTCCCTTGTTTATATTCATTCTATAGGGGAGAGCGGGGCTAGTTCGCACCATTTTTAATGAAACCAACATATATTGAAAACACGATTTATTTGTCAAATTAAATCAACATTCATGTTGTGATCTTGCTGGAAAAAGGTGGGCTTTTGATATCCAATATTTAAGACAAAATAAACATTTTACCATTGGTACACGAATCGTGTACCATAATCTGCTTCAGTCCCAGTTGTATCAAGAGACTCGGGGGCGAGGCTAGACACATTGCACCAAATCAAACGGTGTATGTAGACTGGAATAACCAGACGCTAGAAATTTGCACTCGCTTGAGACAGCTGGCTTATTTCGCCGAACATAACTGATTTGAAATTGGAGTAAAAACGGAAACCATTGAATGTAAATCAGTTTATATACATTCATACTACAGTATTATATGTGTTGCGACCTACTTTTGTCAATTTCTAGACCCCAAATGTTAGCGATTTAGCTCCTTTAAATATTTTTATTGACAGTCGTATACAAGTAATTTCATCTCAAAGTCACCATGTCCGAATGGGCGAACATCAAGCCTCGGCTGTATGAAAGTAAGTGATATGTACCTACGCCCATACAATTGCGATGCGGCACCGGCTTACTTATGCCCCCGTCAGACCGGGGTGACGTCCTTACTGCGCTGCTGCGACCGTACGGCGACCAGAAAATGTCCCCAAAAACTACAAACTTGAAAAAAGTCGTATTCTCATAGTTTTACAGTTCAGATCGCAGAACCTTGGCGTTTGCTTTGAACATGCTCAAAATAAACGCGGTGACTCGGCGATCATTGGCACGATAGCTGGCGTTTCCACTACGCTTATGGCGATCTTAACGGGCTCTAAAACTATTTTCCATCGCCGTAGCAGCGAAGTAAGGACGCTACCCCGGTCTGACGGGGGTATTATTAGGAAAACTTGCCGCTTTTAGAAAGAAGTTCTCAAAACTGCGTCGTTCGAAGCGTATGTAGACTTTTCAGTTCAAACTGGTCCGTGTCTAAAGGAAATAGGATAAACTTGAAAGAAAAACAGCTTCAGACTTTGAAATCTTTGTATGGTAAAACATTCTTTAAATGCGTCGTCAGGAACTTCCTGGTAATCAGGAACTTGAAAGTAGTCCCAATGGCGGACTTCGTCATACAGCCGAGGCTAGATGTAGGGTACTGGAATCTGGTGAGGTTTGCCCGAGTGGGCGCGAGATATGAATGGGGTCGGACTAACCCCGCTTTCCCCTACCTTATAAAAACATGGTAATGCACGGACTTTTTTTCTGTTTTTCTTTCGTATTCTCTTATCTACTGGCAGTCAATTCTTTTTATAAATTGTTAGATATCCTCTCACAGTCTCACACAACAACTTTTAGTCTTCGAAGGAATTATTAGTGAGCAGAAATTCGCCCATGTATCTGTTATCAGTCGGCACTTCAGCCAGTTATATAGAGGTATGTCTCGTGTTTTCCTTTGGCGTTCGTCACTTCCGATTCAGAAATCCTGTATAACTCAGCTATCGTAGCAATGATCTCTGAGTTAAAATTATATTTGGAATGTGTTTAATTAGTTCTATCACATATGTGATAATGACTGGCACCAATATTGTCCTTTAAACCTGTTAACAAATGAAACGTGCTATAAATGACCATTCTCCACACAAGTCTCGCTATCCAGCATCCGAGTTTGAACTGCAAGAGAAGACAACTCTGTTTGGGAGATCGATAAATGACTTGTAACATTGACACCTGTTCAACATGCCTGTTGTTATTGCACAGAAACCCCACCCCACTTCTATATATGATTTCTACTAAAACTAGTGTAAACCAGCATTATAGTGCAATAATATTGAATATGTGTAGTTAGTGCACGGTTAAGCTCCAACCAATTTACTAGAGGGAAAACAATCTGCTTATTCAACGAAAAGAACAAAGGAACAGTTCCCGTCTATGTTTCTTATAATATTGTAGGTCTGTGTGTAACTTTTGCCAATCCGTTTACTAAATATAATGAAATATTTTTAGACACAAATAAATGAGGCATTATGTAAGAGCTAAATCTGTCTATTGTAGGTCTTTCTTCGGGCCTTAAATGTGATATTAATTAGTAATCAAACATTTATTAAGATGACAAGACCATAATCAACTCTCGATGCCATCGGATGGCTCCGATTTTAAATGGATTGCAGTGGTTAGGCCATTTAATGGTTTAATTTAAAAATGGAGAAGCGATGCTAAACCTCGAATAACCAGCAACGTGGTTACGATAATAAACAATCAATGCACTTATCTTGCCAAAACTAATAACAGTGATAACTTCATTCAGAATTAATAAAATTTTCAATATATTCATTTTGCTTTATCTATTTTTGAACTATTCTAGCAAGAACGGTGAGTTCTTTATCTAAATCTTAAATAATGTATGTTTAAATATAAAATATAAACACAGAAACAAGTGGGTTTCTACAATTATTACAGGACCGGATTATGTTTGCGTGGGACCCCTGACTGAAGAGGCAGTTGTTGCGCTTGAATCAACAATGAAAAAGGGTATATTCTGGTTATTATCCGCCACACTCAATAGACTTATCTGGCACGAACACATACGACATAATACATGATATATTTATATATGGAACTAACATTTGTTTGAACTAGTTTGGGTTCCCCTTTAATATTGGGGCCCCTATATGCAGCCTAGTCACCCTCTCTAACCCAAACCTTTAATACGACTCTGGTTATTTTAATCGAAGACGTTTATGCAACATTTGAATAAAGATAATACTTACGACAGAAAATGGCCAGTGTATAAGATACAAATCCAGATAATCTGTTTGTAGTGACTTTAACGATTCCCGACACATTTCTTCCACTGACTCCGGACGAAGATGGGTAAACCATAACTTTAGGAATTAATTAAAAAATAAAGATATCAATGTACATTTCCTAAATATCAGTATTATGTCATTTTGCAGTATCTTATAGTATTAATAAACTTGGGAAAATAAGTGCCCTTTCTAAAATTTACAAGCATTGCTGTGGAGTTTCTGGATTGTACTTTTGTTCTGAAACATTTCGTTTATATGATAGATAGTGTGCATCATATTTGAAACATAAATATTATCATTTAAAAGTAATATTAGGCTCGGCGTTTGGCAACAACCCTTTATCGCCGCCACTGATTTATTGAATATAAAAACAGCTGAAATGTTATTGATGTGATCCGAAACATAACAACGCAATTTATTAAATATATAAAAAAAACCCTGCTGAAATGTAATTGAAATATCAGTTGTGCAAATTTACCTTAGTTGCTAGAAACAAATCGGATCTTTTCAATGAGCCGTCTTTTATTTTTGGTGTAATGGCGTCACCAAGTTCTTCTTCTGTTTGATAAATCCAGGCTGTATCAAAATGACGATATCCAAGTTCTAAAGCCACACGTGTTGCATCCCGTACTTCATTTGCCTAGAATATAAAAAGAACAAAAATGAATTGTTTTATGGTTAAACAGTGAAAAAGGTTAATAACACTTAAGACAGATGGTACTTTTTCTTGGGCACACGGTAGAATCCCCGCAGGCCTTTGTTTTGGGACCCGTTCTCTTCGTCATGTAAGAAAATAACAATCACAATATAAAAAATACACAATTTAATTAGTATACATTAGATAAAGTTGTGTACATTTATTACGTACATACAATCACTGACATTTGATAGGGTTGTTTATATCAATCATGTAGTCAAATCCCGTTTAAACAGGAATGTTCCTGGGTCCCTGTTTCTCGAAATCTTAACTAAAGATAAAATCCAAATTTTAGTAGATACTCCAATTTTGATTGGCTAAGCACTAAAATCAATCTAATATTATCCAATCAAATTACAAAAATTTGGCTTTTATCTTAGTTAAAATTTCGTGAAACATGCCCCTGAACATAACTAGTATTGTATCGGGTTACATAATAGCACAGTCATCGCTCTGGAACTTATGCCCCATTGACACTTTCACGCAATCGTGGTACGCTTTGGTACGCTAAAGTTTGTACCAAGACGGAAACTATGCGTACCATCGCGGGAAACAATCGTAAACTATGCGTACCATTGCGTACCATTGCGTGCCATGCGTGACAGTGCCGACCCAAAACCTTGGATTTGTCCAAGCTCATGCCACGCACTCCAGGGCGTACCATTTTCGTAAACTATGCGTACCCGGTGCGTAAAAGTTTCAATGGAAATTATGTCACGCACTGTCACGCACTGAGGGGTACTCAATGTCACGCATTGGTGCGCAAGGTTCATCACTGGTACGAGAAGATCAGCAATGGTGCTCATGGGTTGATGTAGGTATCTGCCAGTGGTCAGGAATTCTTCCCGCCACTTGACGTGTGTCACTCATTGGTGCTCACAGTTTACTCATTGATCCACACAGTGTACTCACTGGTGCTCATAATTTACTCACTGGTGCTCATAATTTACTCACTGGTGCTCATAGATTACTCTCATATACTCATTGGCAGGTTTGCTTCATTCACAGACGCCGCACCAATCAGAGGCCTCCACGTTTTCACAACGTTTTGTATAAATAACCAGGTTCATGTGATTTCCATCTCATTTCAGAATGCCACCTAAAGGAACAAGTGCTCTGTTTGTGTTCAGTCTTATTTACTTGGTGCTATTTCTTAATTTCGTATTATGAAAACTGTTGAGTTTGCATTTTGATTTTATTTTGTATGTTATTTAATAAAAGTTTTATTACTTTTTACTGGACTTTGTTCTTGTTATCATTTATATATAATCATATATTATCTCTGTAGGCAATAACAGTATTGTAATGTACCTTTCAATAACAAATGTATACAATGACCCTATTGCAACGAGACCAGATAATGTTCACACACTTTGAACTAAATAGGTATTAACAACACACGAATCGCACCAGTGCGGACAGATTTTGCATACTATGAGCAAAGTTTGGTCAGCAACGGCACGAACTATTTGATTGACAGGTGAAATATACATGATATCCATCCGCATTGGTACGCATTAATGATTACCATTGCGGATTCAAAATGCGTGAAAGTGTCAATGGGGCATTATTCTGAAATGTACAATCCATTTCATTGATACGTTTACCCCGTGTTATGGACACTTGTACCCAGTAGCATCACGCATTCCAGCTTCGTAGATGTTTGGTAGTTCTTGTGGGTTGCGCCATCCGGTTTTCAATTGTTTTGGGTTCAAAGATTATCTGACGTCTTATTCATTATGAAAATCAACACACTTACCTTAAATGAGTTAAATGTACCATAGCCAATAACTGGCATATAAAAACCACTATTTAATTTAATGCTATGTATTTTTCTAGATGTCATTCTGAAAGAATGGATAGCAATATAGATATTCTGTGATATTATGTAGATTACAGTGTTCACCTCAACTGATATCAAACTAACTGTCTATCGAAATTGAATCGCCAGCCCTATCATTCTAAACAAACAGAAGCTTTATCTTGTTAAACTAACAAATATAAAAAAAAGTACATATTATGTCATTATCCAATCGTGATGACTTGCAAAATTTTAAATGTGACACCGTTTATAAGGGGACATAGTCTCTCATAGATAATCTATTAGCCCACCACAAACCAATCGACTAACTGTAAAATGTTTCATTTATGGCACGGTTAGCAGGCATTTCTGTGGTATTTTTCACCACAGGAATTCTATAGGAAGTAATATCATAAAAATGGTTAATACTCTATGCGATAAAGTTTTGCCCATCAAAATGTTTATTGAAATATAATTAATAATGGCTGATTGTTTTGTTTTTTTATAGATCAAAAATCGATTTGATCATGTATAATATGATTATTATTTCGTAACATCTAACTAGTTTGACGCAATGCAAGAGTTAAATAATTAAAAAAGTAAACTTAGCGGACGAAGCATATTTGGGAAATCGTGCTGTATTGTTGGTTCGATTTGGTCGGCATTTGCTCTCCACTGTAAACATCAACTAGTGATTTGTTACAATCCCTTCCATTTTTCTTATGTCACCCGGCCCTGGCTGCATCTACGAGGTCGGTGAGGTCACCTAAAGTCACCTAGACCAGATAGGATCCAAGATGTGACACTTTGGGAACACTTATTCTGTGTCCCGGCAGACAAATATTCAATGGTACACTGCCGTGTGTCTCGGTAGGACTTCGCCTTGCGTTGTGTATAAAACTTCAAACTTCTTTTTAAATAATGCAAAGTATCTTTTTTAGGTTACAAGGATATTTCAACAAAAACAATACAGCAACGGTTTTATAGGTTTGTAAACGTTACACATAATTAAAACCTATGATGTCTACCCTGGCTCTTTCGCCCAATCGTCTTTCTAGGAACACCGCATGTTGTCTATCACGGCCTTTAAGCCGAAGCGACTAAAGGTATGTGTCCCTTGAAACCTTGTATGATGTTTGAAGCAACCTTAACTGCGCTCTTTAATTTATATAAAACTTTTAGGTACGTCAGCTATTAGGGCGGACCATTACCAAATTTGGGTAAGTGTTTCATTCTGTCACCCAGTTACGTCAACCATATTTTATAAAATTGGGCTAATCTGTACTACACCAGATGGCGGGAAACAAGTCCCTAAAAAACCCTAAACCCATGGACTCTACATATAATTATAGTCGTCTAGTTTAAACTGATTGTTATCTACGGTTTAGTTTAGACGGATTGTAGTGCATCTTCTGTCTAGTTTACACGGATTGTAGCGTATCTACTGCCAAAAACCACGCCTGTTTTCTCCAGATTACCCGGTTACTCCATCACTGCTATGAATCATTTTTTCTTTTTAGTGGAATTTAAACCCAATGTTCCCTTTTAATGGTTGGTCTCTAAGATAAGTGCTGTGATTTGAATTCTCAGACTTTGAAATAACAGTTTCTTTAGATTGTTTTATTTAAGTTGACATAAATAAACGAACATTACAATATGGAATACAGTAAACATTTCAATATAATAAACAGAAATTATATGAATATAATAATAGTAGGCAGTAAATACTTAAAATGGTATAATAAACATGTAGTTTTTACATTGGACAGAGAGAGAGAGAGAGAGAGAGGGGTGGGGTTTAATGTCCACTCGACACAAGCTAGGTCATTTCGGGACTAACCCATGGTTCAATTTTATTTCAATAATTCGCTTGCGCGTCTTTAGCAGTGAGAGGAAACCGGAGGACCTTTTAGAATGGATACTCGGGATAGTCTTTATATCTGAAAAACAAAATATTATACAGAATATAAAATGAAATGAAACCAGGGTTTAAACTCCCAGTTTTCTACAACAAAGGGGCTATTTGAGACAGGTAGTATACACCATGCAGTTTGCTGCAAGGTACATTTTGCCCGGACAGCGGCGTTTCCGACTAATCTTCATCGAATTCCAACTGTCAAGGGCTATTTTACATGAACGCCAATATATACAAGTGGACCTCGTTTTTTCACCTACTACTCCTAGTCAAGCTCTCCACACTGCACCACTGATAAGGGCAAACCAGGCTGGAAAATCCCGAGGTACTGTCTTGATCGATCCAGGCCCTCCACGGTGACTTCAATAGTTAGAACTCAAAGAACTGAAATTTACTAGTAGAAGTAATCTTACAGAAGTAAAAGTGTATTTGAGAAGGAAACTGGAGTCCCCGCAAGTGACGGCTTCTCTTGATCCTCACGAAAATTGATTTACCTCACAATATATTACTTACTGATTCAAGTGAACACATTTAAAATCTTGATTTAAATTACTGATAGTTTTAACTTCTTCTTCAGTCAAAGAGAAATCAAATATCTGTAAAAAAGAAGTGAAGAAATATTGGGCCTTCTATAAATTTAATTGTCGGTAAATCAATTTGCAACATGATTTCTCGGTCAAAAATCACCGACAATCAACAGCGCAGTACTTTACGGTGTAATACATACCAAGTTTAATCAAATTCTGTTGTCCAGCCTCGTGTTTAGCTATAAGTCGCTACAATATCCATGAAAATAGGTGTTCGGCATGTTCACATGATTTTAAAGCAAACTCAATAACTCAGCCAATAATCACCGAAAATATATATTCATTGATCACCAATGTAACATTTCTGGATCTAGTTCATGCAGGTATTTTATTTCTTGGTATTGAATCAGTGTAGATCTGATTCTCGGCTCTTAAGCATCTATATCCCTCTGCATTAACCAAGGGTAATTAATGTTGTAGTATACCAGTAAAACAGAAGTACGAAGTAATGGTAACAAGCAGTATCAGCCCATTTCAAATTTGATAGAATTTCTAGTAATTTAACTTCGTATTTCTATTAAACCTGTACAGCACACAAACGGGCATTAATCTCCAGCAACAGGGGAAGATCACTAATCAAAAACAGCAATGTACCATAGTGAGTGTAGCAATAGTTAATGATTATACTCGTAACCACTGCTTGAGAAATATGTATAAATCAGACAGAGACCACGATTACCAAGAAGGTGGATTAAGGGAGAGCCTATTATATAGGTTTCAATTAACATCATGAGGAAATAAACTATACCACTGCCCATGTAACCTATTGACCTCTGTGATCATATTTTACCTCAATATTTTGTTTAATTCTAGCAGGTGTGACACTTTTTGGTACCAGTGTATATCCTCGATCAATCCCCCATCTTATTACTATCTACAATATTAAATAAAGATGTAAACTGATAACCGAACATTAAAAAGAAATATTGAGAATAAATCAGATAATGCCAAGGACTATAGATCTACACGTGATAAATGTCAAGGTTCTTCACCCATTTCAATAATGCGTATCAATTGCAAGCAGGTCGGACGTTAACATGTGTTATCTAAGCCGTTCACGCGATTTACAAAGAGAACAAGGTCCATTGAGGTCATTAGCAGGAATTGTTGAGAAACAATAGGCTTCTTCATTTTATTAATTAAACCAGCAGTTGACCCGGCGTAGGCCGGGTGTAGCCATGAACCGGAACAGCATAACTCCGAAACCGGAACTGGTAGTCCATCGCCATCAGGACACAGCTCACCAAATATTTCTACGCCGTCACCTCGAATGTAGGGCGAAAGTTATTTTTAGTCTTTCTCTCCCTTTCCCGTTTTCCCCCTTTTGCATGGCGATTTTTGTTGACTTTTTTGTGTAGAATCGAAGAAAAAGGTTTGAAATACATGTTCTACCAGGTTTTGGTGAATATTCATGATTTTGAGGCGGAAGGATACAAGAATTGAGAGGTTGGTTAGGTTGAAATGTAGGGTCCAAAATTGCATGTTTTCTTGTCTCTACTTCCAGCTTGTGTATCTCAAGTTTTCCATGGTGAACCTCATACGTCTTTTTGGGCAAGAGTTTGCCACATGTTGCTCCATCTGTGGTAGAAAGCGTTCTACCCAACGAAAATTTGGGAAAAAGTTAGAGTCGGTCTAAGAGACGAGAATTAACATTAAAGTCAATGGGCAAATCTTTAGTGATCTGTGGCCATCAGGCCTATGTTACTCCCCGATCCGAGCTACCCCTATACACCAAATCTTAGCCTCGAGACAGACAGTGTTGCTGCCAACCCTGAACAGACAGACGGAAAGACAAACAAACGACAGTCACAAATATTAGTATAGATGATAAAATTGGGTGGTAACTATTCTGGAAGGTATTTTCCGAAATCGATGAAATTTAATAAACACCATCGTCTCCTTAAATTTTAACATATATAAATTGAACAAAGATCAGATGCTAAATATATAATTTATTTACCTGTGCCGTAGTTTTATTATATTTAGTTGCTATTTTTTGTATAGTTTTATCTTCATGTACATTAAGTGACTTTCCTGGGCCACTACTGTTAATAGATAATATAATATACTTAAAAGGTATCAAGAAACACGAAAATACAATGAATGTAGTAAGCTCATTTCTATTCGTTTGTGAAATCAATACTTTTTATACGTCCACATTCATATAAGGTGGACGTATATTGACGTCGACCCTGCCTGTTTGTCGTATACAGGCTGCAAGTCTCAATAATGGATCATCATGGAACTTGGCATATGTATTCCTTATAGCCTAAGGACATGTCCCAACCCCCAGGGGCAGAGCCACGCACAATGTATATGTTTATCGTATACATGCCACAATTCTGATTGGATTATCTTGGAACTTAGTAAGCTTGGGCGGCAACAATTGATTTCGGTGCATGATTCGCAACCCCTTTTGCGGTGCCACGCCCCCTTTTTGTTAATATTTTGTCTGTAAATAATCTACAATTTGCAATTATTTCCATTGGTCCACATCCAGCCCCCAGGGGCAGAGTGTATTTATTCCTTATATCGTAAAGAAAGCAACTATTTATTTTGGTGCATGTTCCGACTCCCAGAGGTGGTGTCACACCCACTTTTTTTGTTAATTTTTTGTCTGTAAATACTCTACAGGATGCAATTATGAACAGATTTTGTTCAAATTCAGCATATAAATCATTTCAATAATAGGGTTGTGCCTATTTATATTTTTGCATCTCCAACCCCCAGCGCAGAGCCACGCCTAATTTTTGTGTTTATCGTCTACAGACTGCAATTCTAAATAGATCATCTTGGAAGTTGGCATTTTGGTGCATGCCCCAACCCCCATGGGACGGTGTCACATCGACGTTTTTGGTTAAATTACAGTCGTTGCAGCCATTGCATTCTGATTTAAATGTCTCTCTAGAAGTATCTAGAAATGGAGAAGTCATTATTCCTCACCTAGTCAGATAACAATCTAATTAATTTCGTTACTAGTCTCCTTCAAAAGCGCTGCTAACAATAGTGTATTGTTAAAATCCAAGAAAAATCTAGTTCAAAACTGGTACGGAATTTATACCGAACTTTCCTTCTTCTTGACTATGTGAACTATACTATGGCTTCTATAACCTAATGGCGCGCTATTACCATTTTACAATACATGTTTATACCTGTCTGTGCCTCCTCTACCTAGTGGAGAGTAGGCAGTGACCACAATATTCTCTTGTTTACAATAATCTAATAATTCATTGTTAGTATAATATGGATGAACTTCAACCTGAAAAATATCAAAAGCCTTCCAGTCAGTAGTGGTAGTTAAGTATCAATTCTATTTCCAGTGCTGGTAACTTTTCAATGAAAAACAAAAGCGCGGAACGATTCAGAATTTAGAAAAATAAAATATTTCTAGGAGAAGAGAACAATCCTGACCTAACTTGATCTAATAAGGCAAAGTTGTTTCTTTTGTAATAAACTGCTTCCTTTTAAATAAAGGTATTGCCTCGTGACCTATTTATTTTCAGACGTTCTGGTTTATATCTAAGACCAGCTTATAGATAAAATAAGTAAAAACCTGATTAACTGCTGGTTTATATCTCAGATCAGCAGCTAAAAGTCGTTTCAATTGTTGAATATTAAAATTAGAAACACCGATAGTTTTAACTAATCCTTTAATCACCAGTTCTTCCATCGCCTGTAATAAAAGACAATTTATAAAATTCTGAATATCCCCTTTTTTTACAAGCCTAATTTGAGGCTGAGAAACAATGAATATAATTGAAGAGTCTATGACTACATCGAATGAACGAATGAAATGTGGTTTAATGGCACGTCAGCTCCAACCGGGATATATTGCGCCGAACATATGGTGACATCTACGAGCCGATAATGACACACTAGAATATTACAATGTTTGGTATCAGTTTGAGGGAAGCGTGTAACTGAGATTTGGTCAAAGATCACAAGATGTAACCCTAACCCTTCCCCTATTTACATCTCGGCGACCTTGACCAAATCTGCAGGTGACCTTAATAATCAGATCTAGTGTTTAATCTATTTGTTAAGGCCAGCTCAATTTTTGACAAATTCGCTGAAATGTAAATAAGGTTAGGGCACGTGATTGTTGGCGAGATTGTTGACAAATACTTGGTGTTTTCAATGTCGAAGACTTTGAATGAGATTTACTTAGAGACTTAGCCCCTTTAAACTTACATATTTAACAATGTCGGTGTTATGTGTGTGTAAGACGTTGGCTCGCTAACCTAGGTTATGTGTTCTATCCCTGCCTTGGCCGAAAAAGTTCATCGGGGTTTTCCGACGTGGTTTCTTCTTTTCAGTGGTACAGGGCCGAGGGCCTGGCAAGGGCCAACATATAGTCGATCGTCCCCGTGTACACATTGGCGTGCACGTAAAAGAAACCTTGGCAGCTTGAATTCGATGTAATGAGTGTTAATGATTTTTGCCTTTCTTCGCCACTTATTATTATAAAACATCTTACCGATCATAAACAATATAATAAATTACTAAATATATCGTTACCTTCCAAGTATCAATAAAATCAACATCATCGTGAGGCTTCCTTCCATCTATCTCACCTGCTTTCTGTGATAAAATATAATAACTATGTCGTCACTGTAATATGGATTTGATATAATATTTGAAGTGTTGTTAGTCTCTGGGGCCAATAGTCCGACAGAACTATGGCTGAACCTCGAAATTGTATACAAAGGTTTTTTTATGATTGATTTTAGTAGCCATGGGTGTCCTCTTTCAGAACCAGCCGGGTGAACCTCGGTCACCCTTAAACGTTTTGAGAAATTCAAGATGGCATCCAAGACGGCCGCCATTTCAATTAATCCACTATAATTCCCACAATATTTGGTCTAGGGTGCTTTTTTTGGTGTCTAACCGTATGTTGTAGGGCAAAGGAATACGCTGAAATCGTTCATTATGTTGTAGGGTGATTATAGTTATGGACAGAGTTCTAGCAAAACCATGTCTGAAACACGCTAGAGGGGACATCCAAAACTGGAAATGTATCGTCATCATCCCCACCCAAACTATGCAGTCTTGCTCAACGAATGATGTATTTGCAGGGAACGTAAAACGAGCCCATCACCAAGCTATTGTGTGGCGTTTACTGGAAGATGGTATTCCGCCGGAACTGTATTGCTGAGTGAAGGATACTAAATTGAGAACAATACAACCATGCTACCTGCTCCAGTGTCTGTCATGTGGCTCATCAGATGCGGGTGCAAGAGTGACACACCATGTAGTACGCTTGCTTGTAGCTGCAGAATATACAGTATTTTGCGCTTGTGCTGTCTTAGGTTGCAGCCAGAAACACGACTAAAGGATTAAACTGTATATTGCCTAGTTTTGTGGGGGGTATTTTCGTGTTTTTCGTGTTCAAAAAACAGCTTGTGTCCCCCTTTTCGTATCACTCATATGCGCCTTATTCAGAAATATATAGTTTGTTTCTAGATATAGTTTGGTTTGGTGACATAATGACCTTCAACCGCCGCTAACCAGTTAAAGGGCAATATTGTCTGGCATTTTGGATTTTACTATCAACTAATCACCCCACAACATAATGGACGATTTCAGCGTATTCCTTGACCTCAGAAACATGCGGTTGGAAACCAAAATTATCATCCATGACTACATACTATAGGGGTTATACGGGATTATTTGAAATGGCGGTCGTTTTGGACGCCATCTTGAATTTCTCAAAACGCTGAAGGGTAACCGAGGTTCACCCGGCAGATTCCGAAAGAGAGCAACCTATGCTACTAAAATCAATTATAAAAAAACAACTGTGTATACAATTTCCAGGTTCACTCGAAATATTGGGTTTGGCAACCGGGCTACATGTTTATACAGGGCCGGTGCTATATGACTTAGACCTGCTATTGTCACCAATCCGATGTCGTGGATTTTCGATATGTTATGGGGGATCTCCGCGACCCATAATTAATGAAACATTTGTACTTTTGTCAAGACAAAAAAGATAGTACTTACGATAGCAAATGGCCAGTGTATCAGATACAAATCCAGATAATCTGTTCGTAGTGACGTCAATGAATCCCGACACATTTCTTCCACTGATTCCGGACGATGATGGGTATTCCATAACTTTATGAATTAATTGGAAAATAAAGATATAAATTTTATCATAACCAAGCTTGGGAAAATAAATATGTAGCCTTCTCAAATTGTCCGTGTTCAGCCATGGAATGGTTTACTTTTATTGTGTTTGTACTGAAACACTTCGTTGATGTCGATGTTCACCGTTTCGGGACATGGCAGGGCGAATCCTATCCTTTCGTGTCGGAGTTATGCCCGCCTCCTTTTCCAAACAACACTGTTTATAACGATTTTGTAAACACGATAGATATCAGGTTTCTTGAAGGCACGAAGGATCGTCATCCAATTTGTTTTTAGAATAAGCTGGTGTCTATGGAAATAGCTGCTGTGTGGGCTTATTTACAGGCTTTGCGTGGTGATTTTCATTCATAATTAAAAATATATATATGAGGACTCTAAAATAGATTTAAAACACGTAACGCCGCAATTTATTAAATATAAAAACAGCTGAAATGTAATTGATGAGATACGAAATATAAGTTGAGCAAATTTACCTTACTTGCTAAAAACAAATCGGACCTTTCAAATAAGCCATCTTTAATTTTTTGTGTGATCGCGTCACCAAGTTCTTCCTCGGTTTTATAAACCCAGGCTGTATCAATATGACGATATCCAACTTCTAACGCTACACGTGCTGCATTTCGTACTTCATTTTCCTACACATAAAAAAGTACACAAATATTAATTGTTTTATGCTTATAAATTGGAAGGGGTTAATAAAACTTTAGACAAATGACAAATTTTGGGGTACTTTCAAAGTGATATCCCCCAGGGTTCTGTTTTAGGTCCCTTTCTCTTCGTGATGTTAGAAAATGCGAAGCATATAAAATATCTCATTTTGTAAAACGTATATTATATTCCTAGGCTGTTTATCATAATCAAATGGTTAAATATTCATATTCAAATGTCAAGTTCTATTTTAACAGAAAGAACTGTGGTACGCCTAACCACTATTTTGTTGGATTACATAATAATCAAGGTCTTGAACTATAATGTCCCTTCTATATCACTGATAAAATTGCGCTGGCACGCCGCTGAGAGGGGGGGGGGTCCCCCAAGAAAATTATCCGTCATTTCCTGCATGTGTAGCCATTCCAAGAGCTATTTGGCTGATATTTTCGTCTAAGTAAACGTTCGGAAATCCTTGAAAAAGAGCCTTAAAATCGAGCAAAAAAGCCAGTTGAACACGCGACTGGAAAATTGTCAAGCCGCGAGGCATTATGATGGGGAAAAAAGACGAATCTATTCCTTAGCCACTTCACTATTTAAGCCTTGTAACTGGTACTGTCCACACATGAAACAATGCTACATCAAGTTGCACTAATGCGCGTCGGTGATGGGCATGAGTTTATAGTAGTATACGCCGCCGATTCCACAAGATGCTATCATTGATGTCTGTCTATATTCACTCTATAGGATTAGGGCACCGTCAGCTAAACAACAAAAATTCGTGTGAAAGTGGAAGCATTAATTAGACCAGACTGGTGTGTTTGAGTCGATGGTTTGAGTCATTTGGGATCCCTGCAACGGGTTGGGAACGGACATATTTCGGTCTGAGAACAGGCACTTTCAGCAGTAAAAAAGGGCACTGTCGAAAATTAGGGGGGGGGGGCGCGATCCGCCTCTGGTTATCTCTAGTTTTGTAACACCACTTGGATTTTAACGTCTACTTCCGCGATGTTGATACCGTAGACGAAATTAGCGCTATATAACCTGGCGGCTTCTATAATTTAACATCTCTATTTATAAACCAACAACCTTACCTTAAACGAGTTGAATGTGCCATAACCAATAACAGGCATATAAAATCCACTATTTAATTTAATGTTAGGTATTTTTGTAGATGTCATTCTAGTATTATGACCAGGAGTATAGATGGCTATTCTATAATATTATACAGCTTACAGTTTTCACTTAAACTAGTACATGTATTACATAACTGTGTTTCTATACTAACTCGTACTAATGTCGAAACCGACGCATTTAACAGGTCATTCGAACTTGATGACGACGTGACTTGCAACATTTAAAATGGGAAACCTTTTATAAAGGGACATAGCCTATTAGCTATAAGAGTAGGCCAGAGTGCCGCTGCCCGGCAAAATTTCCTTCATAGCACACTGTGTGGCGTATGCCCGTCTTCATAAGCCCTGTCGGGGCAAAACAGTAGGACGTTAAACCCCATTTCATTTCATTTAATATCTTGTAAATTATATTTAAGGGTATAAGCATTCGAAAACCTGCACTCACTAAGGCAAGGGCCAATCGTGCAGCCGTTTTCATTAACTATACTAGACGGCATATTAATGACACACACCCTCCGACTCAAATTAAAATAAGCTTTGTATTACAAGTAAACTATTTTTATTTATTTCCATTTTATACAGTAAGTCCAGTTCTAAAAATCAAATGTAGTTCTGTGGTTGCTGAGAAGGGGGATAATAGAATCAAAGATGCTCCACAGCTATATAAAGTGAGTCAATCACGTGAAATCCTCAAACGACAAGTGATACTAAATGTTCACGATATACGTTCAATAGAATTCAAAGAGTTTTATAACTTTCCCCCGATGTTATTAATTTCTTGTTCAAACAAATTATTATGTTAATTAAAATATTCAGCTGATCCTATTGACATAATATATTATCATGAGGATTCTAGATTCGGGTATGTTCCTTTAATATTTACACAAGATTTCGCAATATGTGCATAGTTATATGCTGAACAACAGGATAATGACAATTCACACTGATGCATATCACCGGCGTTTGTTTGTACAAGTCAGAGATGAAATTGCTGATTCATTACAGATAAAACTAAGACTTGACCTGGTTGTCAATAGAGATAGAGAAAGATACGGAGTTTAACGTCCACTTGACATAAACTAGGTCATTTTGGGACTAACATATGGTTCCATTTTATTTCAATAATTCGCTTGCGTATAGGTTTTTTTTTTAACTGTGGGGGGGGGGAGACCCGGAGAAAACCCACAAGGCTGGACAAGCGACCCTACTCCGTGTCACATACAAGCATGGAGAGAGAGAGAGAGAGAGAGAGAGAGAAATGGGGTTTAACGTCCACTCGACACAAACTAGGTCATTTCGGGACTAACATATGGTTCAATTTTATTTCAATAATTCGCTTGCGCGTAGGGGTCTTTAGCAGTGGGAGGAAACTGGAGGACCCGGAGAAAACCCACGAGGTTGGACAGGCGACCCTACTCCTTGTCACACGTACAACCGGGGATTTGAAACCACGCCAGTTGACCCAATGACAGGCCTTATGATACAGCTCGCACGTGCTAACCATTCGGCCATCCAACCCCCCATACAAGCATGGAATCGAAACCACGCCAGTTGACTCCATGCCAGACCATATGATCGAACACGCACGCGTTAAACCATTCGAACCAACACTGGGGTGGGACTCGCGACACTCCTGGTTCGTTGTGAGAGTTCTAAGTGAGAGGGACGCAATGGCGAGCTTTGCGTCATGGTTTTGAGTTTTTGCGCCCCTTCGAAATCGGCAAAAAACACGCGGTTTGAATACGGTTCTCAACATTTTAATCATAATGCTTAACCAGTGTCAAACATATACCGTGTGTCAGATATGCTACAAATCGACTCTACAGCTTGCCCCCCCCCCCCACACACACACACATATAAATATTGTTTTGGGGGTCCCGGGCGGGATTTTATTCCTCATGCAAAGTCATGGGTAACCACGCCCCTGGTGGGCAGGTGTCTTACTTACCGAGCCACTACGGCTCCCACTGGCCGAGTGTAAAACATTGTGGCACTCTCCTAGTCCTTGTTTCTCGTGGATTATTTCCCTTGTCGATAAAGTCTCAAATATTACATTTTATTTACATTAATGTTGAATTTCATATGTTGAACTTACAATTAACAATTATAAATATAAAATGTACCACCTCTAAAAAGTCTATCTTGAAGAAATAGGCCTACCTACCACACGCCCACCATACCGTATACAATTCTTCTACGTATAAGATAAGCAAACTTTGAAATATTCGGTCCAAATAAATATTACGTTGCAAAATTTGGATGCAGTCGATGGTTTTTGTTAGTAAACAATTTTACTTTCGGCGAGTAGGAACGCCATGTTATTGGCCTTTCCAATTATCAAAATGACTTGAAATAGATTTCATTCATTGGGTAAAGTCATAATAACAAAATGAGCGAAATTGAACGGCTTAAAACTGCTGAAAAAGCAATAATATCTCAGCCGAAAGGAAATGTTAGCGACGATTACAAATTTAGGAATGAAAATGGCAGTGAAACGAAAAATGGATCGGATTTTATTAATGTATTAACAGAACATAATGAAATAATTATTCATCAATTACTAGATGTGGTTGAAGGTAATTATGAATAGATTTTTTTAAATCTTTGAATGATTATTGAATTAAATAATCATCATAACAATATCTTTGATAATCACCACATTTTAAGTGTAACCTTATTATTGTGCAAGGATTGGCTCATTCAATGAGTGGCCTACTATTTGACAGTTTAGAACCAACTCACTAGTTTTAAGTATGCTATAATTGGTGGCATTAGCCAGATTTTTTGTGAGGGTTGACTGGGATGCCAAAGGGCGAGCATGGAATTAAAACCATTCCACTTAACTCAATGACAGACCTTATGATCTAATGCACATTAAACCATTCGGCCACCCAAATCCCTGTATGATGAGGTTATTTGCCTCTCGTTTAGAATGTCCTGGGCTTGAACTTGGAATCCTGGCATAGGCTGAAAAGAAGCTCATGAATTTTCAAGCCAAGTTCCCATGATATATAGTAGTTTATATTAACATTCTATTTACTTTTTTTTTTCAGTTCTTCTAGGATGGCAGAGAAATAGCAGATACCAAATTTTAGATAAAGAAGGAAACCAAATTATTTATATTTTTGAGGGTAGGTAAACCTCTTTTATTTAGGTCAGAATCTGATGTGTTATCCGTATTTCGTTTAGTGATGGGGCAAACTTTCCCTCATGTTACTCATAGCACACTGCATGGCATATGCCTGTCTTCATTAGCCCAGTTGATGTTGAAATTAAACCCCATTTCATTCATATCAAAGATAACCATACATTTTTCTAAAACTTTGGGAATTCATGGAATAAAAATATTTTTCTTTCTAGTAACAGATTTCTGTCAGCTCTTTGTATAGTAGTCTACACGACAAAATGTATAACATAAGTTGAACAAGAAAAGTAATTGGTTGATAGTTTAGAGTCTGGGCTATGGAGTGTGCTATAAGGGAAATTGTGCCCAGCCGGACAGTGGCTCTATGCACACCAACATGTAGGCCTACACTGAACTTTGGTTTCTTATGACATCCAGGGGCGGGGTTGGATGGCCGAATGGTTATTGCGTGCGTGTTGTATCATAAGGTCTTTCATTGAGTCTTTGGTTTCGATACCTCGGTTGTACGTGACAAACTGCTAAAGACCCCTACAACTACAAGCAACCGAATTATTGATATAAAATTGAACCATATGTTAGTCCCGAAATGACCTAGTTTGTGTCAATTTGGCAATACACCCTCCCCCCCCCCTCTCCCTCTCTTTTCTCTCTCTTGTGACATCCAAACAACTAAAAATTGGGAATTACATGCACACGTAACAAATGAAAATGACTCCAGAAATTCAGGTTAGCAAACTAGCTCCTTACTCACTGAGCCACTGCAGCTCCCTCCATGCTTTAGATATGAATAATGTACCTTTTATTACAGTTGCTGATTGTTATGCTAGACAATGTTTGGGTGGAATGAGAGAGTTTTCTATGAAAGCAACAGATGATGATGGTGTAGAGTTGTTATCTGTTCATCGGCCATTACGCTGTACAAGTCGTTGCTGTTGGATTTGTTGTAATTTACAGGAGCTTGAAATCTTTAGTCCACCAGGAAATCATATTGCTACCATCAAGGAAATGTAAGCTAAAAAAAACCTCTGAATGTTGCTGCTGTGAAATCTCAAATTATTACATAAATTTTAAGCTAAGCCTGTTCTTCTGGTTTCCTCCCTCTGCAGGGGTGTAGGTGGCTGTGTGGACTAACGAGTACTCTGTAGTTTTCACGGCTGGTTGTTTGTTCGATACCAAGCCTTTCCACGATTTTGTCCCACTGCTGACTCCACTTATGTACAAGGGAATTAATGAAATGAAAATATACTACATATGGGTCCTAAAATGCTGTAGTTACTGAGTCGGTTGAAAATAACAGTAACAGATTTTGTGTCTCGGGACCTCACGGCATGTCATCTATCCTTCAAGCAGAATGAGTTATTGCCCTAAATCATTTAGAAAAATCATTTTTTGTTCATAATTTTCACTGATTATAGAAATGGAATTTCTACACAGAAAAAGTCTATTTATTTGTGTCAATTTCTGATAATTTGTCATATCTTGGACTTTTGAATACTATGATCCAATTAATTTGAAATTTATACATTTGTTCGCATTATTATTTCTGATAAATTACTTCATGGGCTGTTGATCATTTCTTAGGGTCTTGTAAATGCTCCCTTTACCTACAAAAAAATGCGATGACTTAGCTGTTGTGGGCTTATGTTGCGTTGTCTGGCAACCTGTATACATGCATTTGACTATAAAAAAATGATCTATTTCTAGATGGACATGTTTAATTCCAACGTACACAATAGTTGATCCTACAGAACAAGAGTTGTATAAAATGGTGGGAGAATGTTGTCGGTGTAAACTTTGCTCAAATAATGTTTTCAAGGTAATTTTTTTGTTCATGAAAATAGCATTTTATACAGTGTAATATTTGGTTTTGTCACAATGAACAATTTAAGTGTGCGATTTTTAGAAAAGTAATTATAAGTGCAGAAGGTCCGCGCTGCACAAATGCAAGATAAAACCTCTTGACATGCAAAACTTAAAACATTGAAAATATCCATATATTATTGTCCCCCGCCTTTCGAAGAAAGCAGGGGACTATTAAAATGGGTCCGTCCGTCTCTCTGTCCGTCACACTTTTTGGTAAGCAGAGACAAGCAATTAGATTGGTTGATGCTTTGGGACACGATAACTTTAGTTCTAATTAAGTGAGAGTGAGGACACTTGGTGTATAGCTTTATTTTATCAATACCTTGACTAAGTTCGATAATGAACATTTTTTGTTGAGAGTAAGCAGAGTGATAAGCAATTTGATTGGTCAAGACTTTGGAACACAATAACTCTCCTTCTAATTGAGGTAGAATGTTCAAACTTGGCGTAGGTGTCTATTATGTGAATGTTTAAACTTGATGTAGATGTTCATTGGGTGAATGAATGTCTTGACTGAGTTCAATGATTAACATTTCGAGCTGAAGCTAAGCAGAGCCAATCGATTTCATTTGTCGATGGTTTGGAACAAGATAATCTTGATTCTATCTGATAGAGAGTGATGAAACTTAGTGAAAAAAATAAATGTGCGATTAATTAATATGTGTCATCTATTTATTTTTCAATTTCGGAGGGGGACATCAGCCTCACTGTTGGCTTGTTTCTAGTGTTATGGCCCTTGCTCAGTTATGTGATCTTTGTTTTCAATAAGTCTATAAAGTCTAAATTTTTCTTTGTTTTGAATAAGTCTATCTAGAGTTACTGTCCTTGATTATGTGTTAGAATCTTTTTAATGTGCCAATGATATGTTCCAGTTTAAAGATTTTGCTTTTGTTTGTCTAAAGAAACACACTGCAAAAACTTCACTGATCTGTTGTAGGCATATTGTTGATTGTCTGGCAACCTGTCTTTATAATATTTTATTATATTTTATGAGGTTAAGTTTTTTAAAGGACAATATTGGTGTCAGTCATTACCACATATGTGATATAACTGGTTAAGCACATTCCAAATATAATTTTAACACGGAGATCATGACATTGCTATGATAGATGGTAATGAAGATTTCGAGAAACAGAAGTGACGAAAGCAAAAGGAAAACATGAGTTATCCTTCTATGTAACTGACTGATATGCCGAGTGATAACAGATACACGGGTGAATTTCTGTTCACTAATAATTCCTTCGAAGACCAAAAGTTATATGAGACTGTGGGAGGATATCTGACAATTCAAGAAAATAATTGACTGGCACCAGATAAGAGAAAACGAGAAAAATAGAAAAAGTCTGTGCACTACCATCTTTTTATTACGTGTAGAATGAATAAAAACAAGGGCATGTACAGCATGTATGCATCTGTCATAGCAATGATCTCTGTGTTAGAATTATATTTGGAACCTGTTTAACCAGTTTTATCACATATGTGATAATTTCTGACACCAATATTGTCCTTTAATACAGGTTCTGGATACAGGAGGTGAAGTTGTTTGTACTGTTAGTAAGATATGGGGTGGTTGTAAAGATATAATAGGTGCATCCAATGATTACACAGTACAATGTAAGTCAACATGTTTATTTAACTGATTTTATTGTCTTAGATATATAATATAAACAAATAGAAGATCTTAGAATTTCATTGCCTTGAAAAAAATGAAAGATCTCAGAAAACTTAGAATTCCATTGCCTATAAAGAAATGTGAGCTCTCAGAAAATTTTATAAATTTATTATCCTAGGCATCTAAATAAAGTGAGATCTTAAAATTTCATTATCCGAAACATCTAAAGAAATGAGATATCTTAGAATTTGATTGTCATAAATATTTACAGAAAAAAGTTGGGGAGCGGGTGAGGGAGGTTTAAACATACAAAGAATCAGAGGTCTTAGAAAATTTGATTACAAATGAAGATGCTTACGAGTGTTTCTTGAAACTGATCCAATGAAAGTTTGAATCAATAGTCATGATTTATCTTAAAGTTAAAAATGAATTTTTATTTTTCAGATAATGAAAACTTAAGTGCTCATGAAAGAACTATTATTCTTGGTGCCACATTTCTTGTGGATTTTAATTATTTTGAAAAGCATGGAAGATGCTGGTGATGTGATGCAATGAGGCTAAGGTTCTTGGAAATCAGTACCAAGAAAAGACTGATTTCTTTTTATTTTCTGTATTATTTGGTTAAAGATGCATTATGTAAGAGCTAAATTTTCTCAATTGTTAATTTGACATTTATTCACATGACAAGCCCATAATCAAATATCTAGAGAATCGAAAGGCTGTGATTTTGAATGGATTGAAACATGTTCGCCATTTAATAATTTGATTTAAAAATGGATAATCAAGACTTAGTTTATTATCGAAACAACGTAGCAATGATGGTCGAGACTACACTATTCTTCAAACAGTCAAAAATTTGCTCAGAATGAAGTAATTTGACTGAAATTTTAAATATATTCATTTTTCTTTATCTATCTTTAAACTATTATAGTGAAAACTGTCAGCTCTTTCTGTAAATCTTACACAAAAAAGACTGTCCTGTAAAATGAAGAATGCTATTGAATTTCAACAGTTTCTGTTTATTACTTCTAGAGTTATGGCCATGTTTCACTTTGTTGAACCTTGTAAACACTCTGTGATCTTCCGATCTGTATTAAATTTATATGCATTTTTTAAACTTGTAGAACGAAAAAAACTATTGAATTTCCGAAATTTCCTTTAATTATTGTTAGAATTATGGCCCTCGTTTCATTTTGTTGAATCCTTCACGACAAAAGCTATCATCCGATCTGTAATAAATTCACGTAAATTATTTGGATTAGTAAAACGAAGAAGCCTATAGAATTTCAACAATTTCCGTATATATATCCTAAAGATATGGCACGTGTTTCACTTTGTTGAATCTTGTGAACGCTCTGACGACAGAAGTTATAATCTGATCTGTATGAAATTGATATCAGTGTCTTGTAATTGCACCCATTACCTACAAAAGAATAAATATATGACAACCTTTGTTGACTGCTCGGACAATTTAGCTGCTTTGTTGCCTGGAAACCGTAGGATTTCGAATGTCCTCTATTTGATTATGTGCCTGGTAAAACACACTATCGTTTTAAAATTAGGAGAAACTGTCAAATATTTTGCGGCATCTAGGGAACTTTTTATTTTTGAATATGAACAGAGTTGATTTAACGTTTACAGTGAAGACTGTGGGTATATCATCAAGATATTATATCATAAAACAGCCTACAGTAGTGGAGAGCGTTCAAAGACAAATCATTGGACCTGCTAAGATTTATTTGGAAATGAATTTAACTGAGAATATTTGTTTCAACCTTTCTGTATGGGCATTTTACTGACGAACCCTTCAATAAACATTGGCAAAGTGATGCAAATTTCTCATGAATTGTTGAGGAAAAATCTGTGATAAAGCAGTATGTGTTGCCATGTGTTTTCACTGAAGAGAAATAATCCTGGGTGTACACAGGATTCAAGACAGGACTAGTTTTTATAATACCAACAGTAGATAAACTTTGACTAATCTTTTTTCACCTAGACATTTACATTTTTAATGTCATGGATTTATGAATTTTTTGTTATTAATATCTTTACATTAATATTTCATTAGTGCCTTTTTTATGTACCCACTTTTAATGTAGACGTATATTGTTGTCAGTATATTGTTGTCACCAGTGACCGTCGGTTCATCTCTGTCCACAATAGAATTTATCGACTTTGATTTTACAGATGGCACTGATGACTATAGGCTACTGCTGGTTGGTTCACTATGTGGCCTGACAAACCCCATTTGTCTTTTTAGAATTATTTTACAGTCTAACTTTGTTATTTATTTTATTTATAAAGAAATATATTTTTGTTAACCTTGAAATTGTTATTTTATTATGTTCCAGTGTGAACTCGTCTCACTTGCCAGCGTCAGGTCAGGAATAACTAATGACCTGGTTGCTTTGTATTTTATTTGGTTTTAAACATACTGGTGCAGCTAGAATTTTACTGAATGCCTCTTAAAATTGGTACCTATACTTTAACTGAATGTCTCATAAAATTGGCAGGTCTAATTTCGTGTGGAATGTATTAGCCAGATATTGATGTTAATATAATAACATATGAATAAACCAGTCTTACACTTCAGGAATGCAATAAATTTCGTGGATTCTCAGTTGCTCAATAACAATTGTGACAAACTACACATTTGCCTGGGTGAAACAGCTCAGAATACTGGGGGGTTGGGTGGCCGAATGGTTAGCACGTGCGTGCTGTATCATACGGCCTGTCATTGAGTCAACTGGCGTGGTTTCGAATCCCAGGTTGTACGTGACAATGAGTAGGGTCGCCTGTCCAACCTCGTGGGTTTTCTCCGGGTCCTCCGGTTTCCTCCTACTGCTAAAGACCCCTACGCACAAGCGAATTATTGAAATAAAATTAAACCATATGTTAGTCCCGAAATGACCTAGTTTGTGTCAAGTGGACGTTAAACCCCATTTCTCTCTCTCTCTCTAGCTCGGAATATATCAACACAACTAAAGTCGGTGAAATGACATCGTTTTAAAATGACGCAGAGAGTTTGAAATCTATTGTCTTGATTTGTTAGAAAGTACGATGATCTTAGGAAGCGGGCAAGTAAAACATTGTTGGCTGATATTTGGCAAAATAAAAGAGACAGGTGTTTAATTTGTGTTTCACTTCGTGTATGTTTCTACTTATAGAAAAGTTGTGACAAACGAGTTATTTGCCCCTGAATATGATAATCTCACTTATATGTATTAGACGTTAAGCGCAGTACTTGACTTCAGATAAATGTAATTTCGAACTGCACCAAGAGTAAAATCAAATGTTTCAACGGTACACTTACTATGCCAAAGTTTCTCATTGTCAGTGGTGCTGGACGAAGGGCCTGACAAGGACTGTGCCTAGTCTTTCGAATGGTACAAAAACCGAGGTCCCGTGTACCACATTGGCCTGCACATAAAATTTCATATTTCCCTCACAGCACACTGTATGCCGGTCTTCATTAGCCCAGTCGGTGCAGAACAGCATGATGTAAATCCCATTTCATTTCATTTTATTATAACATGTTAACTACGAAAATATAAGACTAATCTCGTTCAAATACACACTCCTCTGATATCGCATGAATATAAAGTCACATACCGATACAAAATGGAGACTTTTAAGGCTTTTGCAAGGTTTTCTAAACTGGCCATAAAACCGCTTTTTTGGTGGGTTTTTTTTTGCCCAACCTTGCGTTCAAACGACGAAGTCAATCTTGCTTAACGATCGCCGCTAATTAAATGTTTGAACGGCATAGAACTGTATATATGTACATATAAACAGAACAATTTGATACTTCAAATGCGATATCACCATAGGTGGAAGCGGATGTTAAGCTCAACAACAACAACGACAACTTCAATACTCTCCCCATTACCCCTCAAAACAAAAACACAAGATGTAGTACATGTTTATTTGATCTACTTTGAAATATTATTTTCATATATATTATATTACAGAATGTTGATAGTGTTTTCATCTATTTAAGTTTCAATAATCTATTAAAATATAAATTTGATCGAATTCCCATTATTCCTATTTCTTCGTAGATAACCAAGTGAAAGGATATTCTGGGTAGTCTTTAAACCTGTAAAATAAGATAATGATATACATGACAAAATATACATTTATTATGACGATTTAAACCACTAGGTAATTATTAAATCATACACAGCAGTACTTATTTAGAGTAACATATTTAATGACGATTTAAACCACTTGTTAATTATTAAATCATACACAGCAGTACTTATCTAGAGTAACACATTTAATATGACGATTTAAACCACTTATTAATTATTAAATCATACACAGCAGTACTATCTAGAGTAACACATTTAATATAACGATTTAAACCACTAGTTAAAGATACATTATGGGAGATTAGATAAAGAGCCGGCAGTTCTCACTATAATAGTTAAAAACTTGATAATATAAATGGAATTTGCTGAGAATTTCAGTCAAATTGATCCACTATGAACCGAGATTTTAGCGATTGAATTTTCGGCCTAGCCTCGATCATCATTACTAAAAAACACGATAAAAAACACAGTCTCGATTATCCATTCCATGATTAAATCATGAATGGAAGTCGAACAGCAAATCGGAACCTAATCCAATAAACATCGCAGGCTAGTGATGACATCGAGAGTTGATTATGGTCTGGATAAGTTAATTAATGTCTAATTAATAATTTAGTTAACATTTCAGGTCTAAAGAAAGACCTGCAATAGGCAGATTTAGCTCTTGAAAAATGTATGTTTAAGTATGAAATCATACACAGCAGTACTTACTTATCTAGAGTAACACATTTAAAATTACGATTTAAACCACTGATTGTGCGAATTTCATCTTCTGTTAAATCAAAATCAAATATCTGAAGAAAAAAAAATATAAAAGATCTAATATGTGTCAGTGTCTTGTGTCGACTGGTTGATTCGTTTTCATATTCTAATGTGATAGGCAGAGGATCTTAATCTATTTTGAAACGAATGTTTATGATTACAGCTGCTTGATATTTTCCACATTTCGATTCAGATACTGGCTTCAAATTAATATCTGTATTTGTTTAGACGATAGAAAATACTACTTCATCAGTTCATGATATGTATAAACATCGTTTTTTCTTTCTTTTCTTTATAAAAGGATATTTTAAATTATACCGATATTCACTCGGACAAAAGGCATAAAACAGCTTTTCACGTATTACCTGGCCCCAAGTTCACAAAGCATTCTCAGATTTAAGTTAAGAATTTAATCAAACTTGTTCGCCTTATTTTAAGTAAAATATAACCCTTTATAAAACTTTGGTTGTTATAATGCATAAAATACATCAATAAGATACTGGTGTAAGTTTTGTGTTTCTGGATCAAAGAGATTTTTCATAAACAGTGATTGAAAGTTGAGTAAATTATTAACTTAAGTCTGAAAAAATTCTTTTTGAACTCGGGCCCTGGTCTTCTTGTTTTCTATTCATTCACGAATTTAACCTTTTACTACGTCTTTCGTATACAATGCCTTATGACAAGGGGGTATGGAAACATGCGTTCAAAGATTGGCTGGGGACATCACAGTGACCCATTTTCCAGCAAGATCATTTGGAGAATGACACATTCGCCGCTAAAGATCTCGTTTTCTCACATATATATATATACTTTATTAGGGTGAGGTACTCGTAATATTCGTCCCTGATGAGATTAACAGAATTTAAGAAAATTGTAACACTTTGGTCCTTGAGACAATTTTGGTTCTTTGCAAAATTGTTGCTTCACTCTGACTATAGAGTCAAATCACACGTACTTAATGAACGCGAATATATAGTTATACATAAAAAAGTGATATTTTGGTAAAATCATTGTCAAAATATCCATCAAATTCTGGCTTTTTAATTGACCTATGGTTGGTAGACCAAATAAGGTAATGTCTCCTTCTTTAGTCGTGTGAAATAAAGAGGTTTATTCCATGGAAATTAACGTCAATGTTATCGAAGATCTGCAGAAATTAGGGGGTATAAATTAGGGTGTAGAGCGAGTTGGATCAGAGCTAGTTACTATACTTGTAACGTTAAACTGTGTGTTTAAACTTTAACGTTACAATTGATACAGTCTAAGAATCCTTACGCAAGTTCAAATAGGTTCAAACGCAGAATCGTCAACACATATCATTACAGTTTGTATTGGAATAAGTAATTCTATCACAAATAGTGAAGACTGGACCACTAAAATAGTTACCGAACAGTTTTTCTTTGTGGTTATGCGTTCTACATTTGCATAGCGATGTTTCTTGTAATGACGTATTACGCAAGCCGCCATGACACCCGCCAGTTGAAATTTCGCGTAGCAGTTGGGTTTCATCAAATCATATAATTATAAGGCTTCACCTTTATTTCAATGGGAATTGGTTTATTATATGTTAAGCTATGAGCAGTGCTGTTTTGGGTCAGTTTTATGTCTAAATTAAGGGAGCTATAGGCCAGTAACCTTTTTGTAGTCATTTGACAAAAAAAACTTGCGCAAAGGAACTCTGTAGGACGAGCCACTACTGTGGCTGGAGTAAGGCAGAAGACATCAGTAGTGGAACCATTTCTAGATCAGAGCTGATTCAGAAATTCCTAGCAGCCATTATTATTGAGAACGAGGAACCCTCAAAGCCATTGCAGCTTAGCAATAAAGTTGTAAAACCATTGATGCTGTAGTCTTGTTACGATCACGAAGAAACAAACACAACAATAAAAGAAGTCCGATAGTACAACAAGATGTATTCATATTATAAATCATAATCGGTACTTTCTGTCCCGTATACATCCCAACATTTCTTTAACCATTTATGAATGGATAACATTGCAGTTGAGTCGATTTATTAATTCAAAATGGGTTAAATCATGCAGATAAATAATTAACACATACCTCCAGGTTTTCTTTGATTCTCGATGGCGTCACACTTTTCGGAACGACTGTGTATCCTCGGCCAATTGCCCATCTTAACACAACCTTTCAAAATTTAAAGCACTAATACAATATCAAATGATTGATTACATGTATTTTCTTCATTGGAACTTTGACAGTTGCAGAATTCATTCATCCCCTTATAATTATTTTCCATCATTATTTCGTTAAACGATATGTCATTTGCATTTTTCTTTCAACTATCAAATTTCTCAGGGCTAAATCCACGCTAATATGTACTCAAATTTGATCATTTAACATCTAATTAAGAAAACAAAATCAAAATATCAGGTCCATCGATTCTCCTCGAGCACAACAAAATGGTGGTGGGCTTATAACGAGCAGCATAGATCGGTGAAATTTGAATTCAACATATCTTTGTAAACACTGAACGGAATTGAACCATTTTTGAACCGATGTTCCTATTAGGGATTCATCGATCACAATATTGTAGTTTGCAAGGGATTCCTATTGCGCTAACATGACGCAATGGTACTTTAAGTATTTATTTACCTGTGCTGGACTTTTATTATATTTAGCTGCTAGTTTTGTAACAACATCGTCTACAAGTATGTTTGGTAATGGTTGAGATGTACTGAAAAGTATAACACATTGGTACATTATCACAAAAATGCC